AATTTTATTTATGGATTTTGTTAATGAGTATCCTTAGGATACTTGATAAGAAGTTTAAAACACTTATATATAATATATGAGAATGCGTGCAATATGTGTAATGTTCAATCAATTTAAATATTATTAACCAATGTTCTTAGGATAATCGTTAACAAAACTTTTCTATATATATATATATGTATATATTTTTGGACCGAACATGGAATTGGGTATACTAATGAAATAATCATTTAATTCTATTATAGGTTGTGCGGACCATCTCACTACCGTAACACACATCAAGATGTTATCCGCTTTGTACCACGGGACATGCACAGTTTTGTTCTTCCTTTACTAGAAAAAATCTCTTGAAGATTTGTGGGTATGATACACTTATAAGGTAAGTCAATAGTTCTTAACGAACTGATGTGGGACGAACCACGTTAGCCCCCCAACACATGTAGATCCACGTGGTAAAGTTAGGTTTCCCACATACAGCTCCAAATGTGCAGACTCAATTCCGCAATGTAGAGAGTAAATGGGTCCTGTGGATGAATTGCTGTGCTCTGGGTGGTGAAGGCTTGCACAAGCAACGAATGGTGAGACTGCCTGATCGGGATATCTACAAAAATAAATGACAAATATGATTTGAAATATGAAACTGAATACAAATGTGCGTTGATAAAAATGTTAATAATGTCCGATCAATTTAATTTTTTACAAATATATTCTAAAAAGTGAATGGTTTAAATTATCGGAACAAGTCCCGAAATGAGCCCATATAGGAATACAACAGTGACTACTGTGCCTGGGACACAACAACCACCCCATTTCCTAGAATAACTCATATTAAACAAACCAAATCACTTTATATTAGGCCATGCTTACCAATCAAGCTTATTAATTAGATTAGACTTATTTATCTAGAGGCCTTAATTGATAAAAATAAGTAATTAATAAATTTATCACTTAATAAAATTATTTATAGATCTTAATATAATAAATCTAAAAAGATAAGACTGACTGATACTTTACTATTTAAATTATAAAGTTGAAAAGCAATTGCTCCAATCTTAATTTAATTAAAAAAAAGTCATTGACGGCATTTCATCATTAGTATCATTTGAGATGTGAGTTGATTTTTTGATTTTTTAATTTTTTTGATTATTTTCCAAACTTCCTTAGTCAAGAAGTGAGAAGAGCTGAGATGTGAGTTGATTTTTTAATTTTTTAATTTTTTTGATTATTTTAATTTGGAGTAAAAAATCTCGTATTAGATAAATTTTTTAATTTTTTTGACTTTTGTAAAAGAAAAAAATAGAATAATTATAAATTGAATATAATATTTTATTATATTTAATTAAAATAATTTATTTTATTTTATTTTATATGACTATTTAAATAATCTTTCCAAACAACCACGTAATCGAAGACAGAGGGCAAATAGGGGCGTGTATACGTAAAACAAAAGAAAGGATAAAAAAGACAGCCAGCAATTGTCCTCATCATCCTCACTCGTCAAACACCCCACCTCCCATCAATTTAATATTACACACACACATACAAGTGCAAATTTCCATAAATAAATAAATTGTAATAATTGTCTTCATAAAGGTTGAAGAGTTTGATTTGGCTGGCTATCTATAAACAAAAGAGATTTGATTTCGTGTGTTTTGATTGATACCCATTATTAAACAACTCTCATTTTCACCAAGTATCATCTCTTTCTCACTCTCTTGCTATTTTATATTCAATTATTTTAAAAAAATTATATATATATTTATATTTATGAGCATTAGCTTTTGTGTGGAATTGGATTAGTGGTGGAGTCCATGTTAGTTTCCTTTTCTTCCTCCTATCCAAAACTCTTCTTTATATAAACCGTGTTTCGGTTTTGTGTAATTTATCAAGTTATTTATTTATAGTTTTTATTTTTAAAATTAATAGGTGATCTGTGTATTGTATAAAAAATTATCTTTAAAATAAAAAATTAATTTTGAGTCTTAATATTTTATGTGTAAAAAAATTTAACAATTGAAAGTCAAATAATATAAACAGATTTGCTAATAGTTAATGAAAATTTTTGTCACTGTGTGTGATCCTATGTAAAATAGGCTCATAAAAATAATTTATTCCTAAAAAAAATTGTATTATCAATTTGCAATCAAATCATCATTTATGTTAATCAAATTTACCAAAAATCATGAATTCCACTTGTATCAAAAATATTTTTTTTAAAAATAAAAAGTACAAAAAATTATATAATATACAAATTATGACTTAATTATAACTCATGGTATATTATTTTAGTTATTAATCGAAAAGGTCAATGCTAACTTCTTATTTTTTTGTTATGTCTAAAATGGTGTATTGGGTCTTTAATTATGTTTCAAGTGATGATTAATTATGATCTATTACAATATTTTTATATGACAATAGTTAAGTAGTTTATTACAGTAAAAAAAGTGCTTACAGTGGGTTTACTCAAAAGTATGATTTAAAAAATTAGAAATTCAAATCATAAATAGTGTCGTCAAAAGGTGGCATAAAATCTCTATAACTTTGATAATTTCAATTCTCAAAAGGGTTCTGATTAATTATGATCTATTACAATATTTTTATATGACAATAGTTAAGTAGTTTATTACAGTAAAAAAAAGTGCTTACAGTGGGTTTAGTCAAAAGTACGATTTAAAAAATTAGAAATTCAAATCATAAATAGTGTCATCAAAAGGTGGCATAAAATCTCTATAACTTTGATAATTTCAATTCTCAAAAGGGTTCTGATTAATTATGTTATACATAATAATAATCACAAAATTTTCATTCTTGCCAAATATTTGTTGCATATCTTTTCTGACAAAGTTCATGGAGGTTCATTATCAAGAATATTATAAATTCATTTTTTATTTAAAAACTATTCAAGAAACATCAATGGGTGTCTTAAATATGTACAATCATTTTCGATGAATCACTATACTTTAAAATAATACTTTACACTATTTGTCATTTGACATTTGTCAATTTTTTTCCTAAAAACTTAACAAAAAAAGTATTAAGTTTCATTATTTTAATCAATTAATATCAAATTGGACAATACACGTAAGGGTGTGCGCGGTGCAGTTTAGACGATTTGAGAGCAAAATTACAAACCGCATGGCGAGTTAGCGGATTGACAAATTGCGGTTTGGACGGTTTTTGACAGATTGGCAGATTGAATAATATTCTAACTAATTATCATATATTTGCATAATATATAACACTAATTTGTATAATATTTTTTTGATATATAACACAAAATAATTTTACATAATATGTTTCATATAGATAACCACTAATTTGTAACAAATTTTATATCTTAAATATCTTTCACATTCATTTTAACATTGATATTGGAAGTTAAAAAAATATTTATGTATTAACTATAGTGGAGTGGAACGGTTTGGTTGGCGGATTATAAATTTTAAAGTTTAAACCACGGTTAGCGGGTAAAGCGGTACGGATTGATACTGATTGGTGCGATTTTAGCGGATTGGGTACTATTTTGCACAACCCTACGCGTGTATGTAAATTACTTATAAAAATATGACGTCTGACATAAAATCATAATGGAATTAATTTTAATTAATGTAATGATAATTTATATTATGATGTGTTACAAAAGAATAATTTTAATTTTAATTATATATTTTAATAATTTTAACCTTATTATTCTATAAAAGTGTTATTTGAATACTTATATATAATAAATTTAGTTAAATCATTTATTTATTTTAATAATTTTAGTTTTATTATGCTATAAAAGGGTAATTATCATATAATAATTTTATATGATATTATTAAATTATAAGATAATAAAATAAACTCTCATTTTGATATTAAAAATAAAAATTTAATTAGAAAGAGAATTAGTAATATAAAACTAAAAGTGATTTCAATTATTTAATTTTAATTTTAATTTTCTATTTTTTTGAAAATAAAAATATGTAGAATTAGAACTATACAAAATTTATTTAAAAGATTAAATATAAATATGTTGTGATTGGATTAAGAAAAAAAATATAAATTAATTAGGTAAAGAATTGCTTTTTTTTTAATATTCTTTTTGAATTATTCATACATATTGTATATAGATATATAAAATTTAAATTAAATATAAATATTTTGTAATAAATAATTTCATGTTAAACAAAAAAACTAAATATAAAATAATACTAAGATATCAATAAGATAGACAAAAAAAAATGAAAAAAAATTAATTTGATCCGTGCACTGCACATAATTAAACACATTCTATCTTATTTATTTATTTGTATATCGAGATTTTTTTTTCAAATATCATAATAATTAAATTAAAATATCAACTATATAATAGAAATCTAACAATAATAAAATTAAACGATGAAAAATATATATAAAATAAGTATTTATCAAATAAAGTCAATATAAAATTGATTATTATAATTGAAATTAAGTATGTAAATGGAAATGCATGTTGATAGGAATTTTTTTTAAAAAAAAATAAGCCGTTATAATGTGTTGCAAGAAATGAAAAAATATTCAGCTTGCTTGGTTCAATTTTTTCAAAAATGCTTTTTAGAAAATTCTACTTTTTTATTTTTTGTATTTTTTTGTTTTTACTAAATTTTTTTAATATTTTAAACAATTTTTTTACTTTTTAGACACACAACAATTCAGTATATTTTTTGTATTTTTATGTATTTATTAATTTTTTAAAATATTTTTTCACAATTTTTTTGGTTTTTAAATACATCTAAGTAAGGTGCATTTAAAAAAGTAAAAAAAAAATTTAAAACTTTAAAAATATTCACTAAAAATAAAAAAAATATGAAAACCAAAAAATTTAATTTTCAAAAAATTATAGAAAACTCAAATCAAACACAATAATTACTTTTAATAATATATATATTACACGATGAAAATTTATATTAGTGTATTAAGAGAGAATTTTTTTTTTACTATTTTCTGATTCTCATTGTTAAGACCTCCACCAAACCAAAGCAGGCCAAATAAAGTAAAATGAGTCATATGCAGATATATGAACCTTAGCTTTTTTCTCTGAATTGACTGTGCTGTTCATGTCTCTTCTTCTTCTGAGAGCAAAAACCGTATCACCATACCAATAAAAACTCAAACTCTACTCTTTTTTTTCGTATGATTTTTCTCTTCTGGGCTTTCTCTCAATTATTATAGTAATCTGTTCATTTTATTTTCTTGCGGGTAAACTATAGCACTTTTGAATTATCATTTATTATTACTTCCATATTTCATTATTCTTTCTAATTCAAGACAACCTGGGTTTGATAGGTTTCTTTGTAAATAGACATATATATACATAATCTCATAATTTCCAATTTTCAATTCTAGAAGTGCCTTAGTTTTCTTCAGTCCGCTTTGGGTTCTCTAGATTGTTCTTTCTTTTTGGGAAGTTGTTATTGAATTTAATGTTCTTTGGTGGTTTTTGCTGGCTTCCAAGAAACAAAGAAAACAACTTTCCTATCTGTCAGAATCCAATTTCGGTTTCAAAATTCAAAACCCATATTGAAAAAAGCTGTCTTTTGCTTTAAATAACCTTTAATCTTGAAACCTTTCGAGTTCTAGCTATCTTTCAGCCCTAACAATCTAAAACTTGTATTGGTTTCATTAGAGAGACATTAAGGTTTTAATGGGTTTTTTCGGTATGAGCCATGGAGGGTTTGCTGTGAGCATGCTGTTGTTGTTGTTGTTGTTGTTGTTGGCTATGGTGGTGGGTTCAGTGAGTGGGATTGGCGCTAACTGGGGAACACAAGCAACCCATCCTCTGCCTCACTCCACTGTTGTGCAGATGCTCAAAGACAATGGGTTTCAGAAGGTGAAGTTATTTGATGCTGATTCAAATACTTTGAATGCTCTGAGTGGTTCTGGGCTTGAGGTCATGGTGGGTATACCCAATGACATGCTTGACACTCTGGCCAACAGTGTTGCTGCAGCTGAGAAATGGGTGGAGAAGAATGTCTCTGTACATGTCTCATCCAATAAGGTCGACATCAGGTAATTGATTCCTCTCTCTGTCTGCCTCTTTTCACCTCTTATTTGATATGAACTTATTCAATGGATAAACTCTGATTCAAGAATAAATTTGAGTAAAAACTTCACTAGGTAAATTTGAGACCCACAAAATAGCCTTGAAATTTTTGAGAAAACATTTGATTCTCCCTTGATTTGGGCAAAAAATTGAGTAAAATTCAAATTGGTATAAGTTTGGATCAAGGAGTGTAGGTGTTTTGAGTGATTTTTACCTAAATTTATGTTTGATATAGGTTTGAGTCTAAGGATTGGAGATGTCCGTAGGCTATCTCCTGCCTTTACTCAAAATTTTACTCAAATTTGAGTAAAAACTTTATTTGATATGAACCTGGACAAACTCATATTTAAGCATAAAATCAAGTAAAAACTTCACTAATGGGAGAGTGGCAAATTTGAGAGCCACGAAATAGTCTTGAAAATTTTGAATAAACATTTGAGTTGCCCTTGATTTGGGTAATAATTTAGAGTAAAACTCAATTTGGTGTAAGTATGGGTCAAGGAGTAAAGGGTGTTTTGAGACGTTTTTCACCCAAATTTAAATTTGATATAAATTTTCCATCCAGACTAGATTACAAATTTTGCATCCAGATAACACACTAGCCTAGGACTCAAAAAAGAGTATATAGACTATAGAGGACATTGGTTGGAACACAAGACAATGATGGTAGCAGTATGAAAAACACAACAAACAAATATTTGAGATTAGGATTGATAGTTATAGGACGAACACTTGAAAAAGAAACTGTATTTATACACAAATATACCCTTTCTCAATTAGTAATAAACCAATTTTGCAATTGAAAATTGAAAAAGGTATTTACAATTTGATTTTTGTTTTTTATTTTTTTTTTGCCACAAAATTTCAGTCACACTTTTTGCATGCATTCACAGATACTAAGAACTTTACAGGTTATAATAAATAGCTTCAAAGCCACATGAATTTTGTAATTGGCTTTTATGACTTCCATTAAAGGTTTTATTTGTCCGTTTTGGTTTATTCTATCCTCAGGCTTGATTTTCTTCCTCTGTTTAGAATCTATATTGGGAATGTCGAACACATTTTATTTGCTTAACGTGTAGTGTACTTTATCTCAACACGGTTATATCCCGTTAAGGATATACATGGTAGTCATGAACATGGCTTCAACAGGCCTGGACACGTGTTGGCTCCCTGTACTTATCCAGAGCTTTAATAAATCTCGTATTTTCTATTTTAGGGCAGAAAAGCCCACAGGTTTATGGCACATTAAAAATATAGGAACTTCATATGTTTCTGAATATGATTAATGAGTGAAGTTACAAGCGTGTGACAACTGACAAGTGTATTATGATCTCACCATTTGGTTGTTCATACATGTATATCACATTTGTTGCATTACATTTATGTCACCGTGTTCTCTTCATGTTTGCATCCGAACTTTTTTTTTAATTTTTTTTTTTATACATGTTTTGACCAATTCTGGCTTAGGTCTTCTTTTCTAGATCACCTCCGCGGTGAAACCATTTAGTTCTGATAGGAACCATCCCTGTCCTATTCATAACAAAACACCATATTTAAAATTTGGTTCATGCTTCATTCTCCTTGTAGAGTTCCATATGTTACGCAGATTTTATGCTTCACTATGGTACCAAATCTAAACCATTGGATTTTCCCCTATGCTTCATTCATATGTGCTTACTGTCCCACACTTTATCAATATTCTAGGGTTAGTAGAAAAATGGTCCAATTATATTAATATATGTGTACTTCGTTGTTTTAATGGACATGGGATGAATCTATACTCCAATCATGTTCTGTCAAGTATTGTCATTGAATGTGGATGTGGATCCTAGAATTCATGTCAAATCTTAGCCCAAAAGGTCTGAATCTATGGCCCAAATGCATATATACACACACACCCATATACATATATCCATGGATGATGATTGCTCTTACTGTTTACACACTGAATCTTAGTTCCACACTGAATCTTAGTTCTTAAAATTGATATCCTAATGTAAAGCACATAGTTATGAAGTGCTTTAATAAAAAATTACTAGAACCGCTGCTGCCATAACCCTAATGTCATAGTCACTGCCTCAAGATGCTGCAACACCACTTATCCTGCCACCTCATCTGGCATCCATTTCCCTTCTATGCGTCACCACTGCATGATAAGTGAAAACACATTTTATTTATTTTATTTGCATACGTGTTTAAATTAACGTTTTTAATGAAAGTTTTGACGGAGTAGTTGTAGTATGTCAACACACACTAGTGTATGTCTTTGTGATGAAGGGTCTTATTGAGCAGCTAGCATTAAGACTTGTAAATGAATTTTGGCTTGTGGAGGTAATACCATGCTTGGAAAATAAATTGGTGATTATTTGAAAATAGTTTGGCCCGATAATTTATGAACAAGAACTAGAGAGCCAAAGACAGTAAATATGAATTACTACGAGAATGTTGTAAGTCCTTTAGGTAATGGATTTTCAAATGGCAACAATATTTTTTCTTCCCTTGAAGTGGGATTTCAAATTAAGTACTATCGGTAAAACTACACGTACTTTCCGTAGTACTCATATTCAATACAGTTCTTGACCAATATTGGCTTTTTGGCTCGCAAATCTTGTTATTTAATTTAATGACTTATATCCCACAAGTTTGCTTTAAGAGAGAAAAGTCTAAGAAAGTTCAATATTCTTCTTTACAAAAGCAAATGGTGGTTTAGATGAATTATCGCGTTTTAATCCACAAAGAGAAGGAATTTTACTTTAATTTTTGTTTGTTAGTCAAGTCCTAGACATCCCACACAAAAAAAATAAAAATAAAAAAATAAAAAAATCCTAGGCATCTGTAAGTGTTAAAATCCACCTACTCTCCACCTACTTCACCCACTTAAACCTACTCCACTAAACCTAACCCACTACACCACTACCACCTCACCTACTCCACTAAACCTAACCCACTACACCACTACCACCTCCACTTCACCTACTCCTTACCTACTACACACTCACCCTCTTCTATATATAGGAATCCTGAATCATTGTAATAGATATCAATATATCAATCAAGATACATCAATCAATAATACAATCAATTTATTCTCTCTCCCTTTTCCTATACATTAATTCTAATATTTGTTTCTCTTTCTCTTTTCCTATACATTAATTCTAACAATATCGTTCTACTGGAGTTGAAATGAAGATTTTGCTGGCAGTGAATGCCTTCAGATTAAATTTTGTGTTGGATTTTCAACCTTCTTTATGACAATGACCACTAAAATAAAAAAATGGAATTATGATTCCATGTGACCTCAGGATGGATAGTGCTCTGAAGCTGGTCACTAGGAGTATTGAACAGAAGGCCTATTTTACAGCAACACAAGATTTCTCTGTGGGAAAAGATTGTTATGTGGAGATGCATTCCCTGGAGACCACTGTTTGTTGGGAAATTGTTGTTTGGTGAAGTCTAAACTCAGAGGCAAACAACCAATTCTATACTCTAAAATATTTTCATCCATCACAGATACTTATCTAAATGATATCTGTGATTTGGGTGATTTTTGTAGTGTGCCACTGTGTCTGTATGTTGATGTGATAAATGGTCACTAGCATAAATTGTCATTGTCTCTAATCCTTTTCCACTCATATTGAGCTGTGCTATTATCTCAACTCTCGCACAGGGATTTATTTATATGTTAAGTTTGGCATCATCACTTTTTGGTTCCAAAGCATTGAAAATTTTTATTGGTCCTAGTTGAGAATGAATGAAAATATTTCACAAGCCAAATAAAATGTCACAACTTGGGCATTGTAATATTCTTTCTTGCCGGTCTGATGCAGTGCTAATACAGAAAGGGATTAGATATCGTTCTACTGGAGTTGAAAAGTTGACTTAGATGTCTGTATCTCATCCCAGTTGGCAATAGTTCTCATTGATTTTCAATGAATTCTTGGTGATTCCTAGCATAAAACTATTCGAACCTAACTACTTCTTTTATATCATTTTGTTGCTATCGAAATGAAAGTGTCTCAGGTGCTCATGGGACAACACTGATTCCAAGCTTGTGAAAAACATCTGAAGCTTTTTCATAATATATATGTATATGCACCATATTGAACTGCATAATAGTTTCTATGAAAACTATCCGGGATATAATTATTTCTCTGCATAAAACAGTAGTCAGTGGAACTATACTGTAGCTACAGCGATATAAGTACATGACCTTCTTGTTACAGTAGAGTGCCTCTTGTTTTCGATAAAGTTTTAATATAAAACTGCATTATGTGTGGGAAAAAAAAAATTTCTGTGAATTGTGCTAGTTTCTAAATCATTTTATTTTTTAATTCCTAGTTTCTAAATTGTTACATTTATCTACTTTCAAATCAGCGTGATTTTAGCCTTCAGTCTGTGAAGTCGTCAATGATATTGTGTGAAAGATCTCTCTAGATCATAGAGAGTAAATCAGGCTCCTCTTTTTTTAGCTTCACAATTGAAACATCATGTCAATTTTGGTTCAATTTTTTCATGAATGATGTGAGACATTTACACTAGATATATCTAGGACACGCTGTGTGATGTGTCCCTTCATTTAATTAATGTTTTTTAGGGGACATGCCTGGGGCATGCTGGGGACACATCGATGACATGCCAACTAGTTTTTGAATGTTTGTTACTTTTTTCTTAAATTTAAATAATTAATCGATCATCCCAAAAAAAAAAAAAAACATATAATAAGAGTTAACTTAAGAATGTGGTGTTTTTTTTATATATTAAATTAGTGTTAGTTTTTGAGGCATTCCTATTCATTTGTTTGAGTCATTCCTATTCGTTTGTTTATCACCAAGATCAATAGTTGCTTCTCCGTTTTTGTATGATAAACTACAGTTATAATTGAGAACCAAATGGGGCTTGTTTTCATTTGATGCCTCATAGCATATGCTTGATGTTTTGGTTTTCTGTGGCATGAATCGGTTTTGATCCTTCTCTTAAACTCACTTGACTATTGAATTTTCTTTTCTAGGTACGTTGCTGTTGGGAACGAACCATTCCTAGCAACATACAACGGTACCTTCCTCGGAACAACTTTTCCTGCACTTCAAAACATTCAGGCTGCCTTAATAAAAGCTGGTTTGGGCAATCAGGTGAAAGTCACCATCCCTCTTAACGCTGATGTGTACCAAACTTCGACAACCCTCCCTTCTGGCGGTGACTTCCGACCCGACATTCACGATCTCATGTTAGAGATCGTCAAGTTCTTGAATGACAATGGAGGTCCTTTCACCGTCAACATCTATCCCTTCATAAGCCTCTATTTGGACTCCAATTTCCCCGTTGACTACGCCTTCTTTGATGGCTATTCATCCCCCATCAATGACAACGGGAAAATTTATGACAATGTGTTCGATGCAAACCACGATACCCTTGTGTGGGCTTTACAGAAAAATGGGTATGCAAATATGTCCATTATTGTTGGAGAAATTGGGTGGCCTACTGATGGGGACCGAAATGCGAATGCAAAGTATGCCCAAAGGTTCAACCAAGGGTTAATGTCCCACATTGCATCCGGGACGCCAATGATACCAGTTGCCATTGATGCCTACTTGTTTAGCCTTATTGATGAGGATGCCAAGAGCATCCAGCCGGGGAACTTCGAACGCCATTGGGGGATATTTAACTATGACGGGACGCCCAAATATAATCTTACCCTCGTAAACTCGAGCAACTCGGGAGGGTTAGTAGCAGCTCGCAACGTCCAGTATCTGGCTCAACAATGGTGCGTGATGTCGTCGACAGCGAGCCTTGATGATTCTGAAGTGGCGCCAAGTGTGAGCTTTGCTTGTTCTCATGCTGACTGCACGAGCCTCGGGTATGGGACAACGTGTGGGAATTTGGACGTGAGGGAGAACATTTCGTATGCATTCAACAGCTACTATCAGGAGCAAAACCAGCTCGCGACTGCATGCCTGTTCCCGAACCTTTCGGTTGTCACGACGACTGATCCGTCGATTGGAGACTGCAAATTTAAAATCATGATTCAGACAGATAGTTCTGGGATGGAGGGTAGTGGTGGGGGTTTAGTGAAGCATGTTAATATGTTTTTGGTCTTGTTCATGCTTGTTTTGATGGTTGTGTTGCGTGAACTGTGAGTTTTGGCACCTTATAAATATAGTTAAATTTTGATATTATTATAATATTAATGTTGATAAGTAGTTGATATTATAATATAGTTTTTGAATCTTTTTTTTTTTTAAGTGAAGTTGATCCAAATTTACATTGAATCAATTATATTATAAAGTAATTTTGATTAAATTAATAATGTGATCCATTGAAAATATCTAAAATTTATTTCAATAATAATTAGTATTTCTCTCTAACTTAATAATTATAATTTATGCCAATGAAACTGCTTAAAAAAATGCAATATTATAAATTATTATTATGAAAAAATCAATTATAATTGATTCAATTGCTAGGACAACATTTCAAAATTGGATTTATCACTTAATATTTTAAGTGATTTTGTGCATAGTGTGTGCATCACATATGCATGGTACTAGTAAAAAATTATAAATTTTAGTGTTTTTATATAAACAAATTTGTGTAGATACAGTCACAATTAATGTTTCTAAATTGTTACATTTATCTACTTTCAAATCAGCGTGATTTTAGCCTTATATATATATATATATATATATGCATGAAAATTCCATTTTTTTAGTTGGTCTTGAGTTTCAAAAACTTTGTATATATTATGAAAATCAAATTACTCAAATCGATTCTCAATAATTCTCAAGGTATAAATCTATTTATATAACTTACGTTTCGTCAAAGCAACTGAGTAAATATATATATTTATAGTTTTCATCATCATGTTTTTTTTTAACATATGCATTTTTAGTAAAATAACAAGATTAAAACTGAAAAAACTAGTGAGCTATATTTGAATGAGATTAGAGATGTAATTTTATATTTCAATAAATAAAGTTAAACTTTTTTATAAATATTTCATGATTTAAAGTACAATTCTAATTGTTGTAATACATTTCAAAATTATGTATTATAACTAAAACAAAAAAATTAAGACCTACTATTACACCCACGATGACATGACAAACAAAGTGCCGATTTTTAAATTGTCACAAATAAGGTGGTAAATTGAAAATTATGTGCGATAGTAAGAAGATGGTTGCTAATACATTGTAGAAATTTTTTATTTTATTTTTTTGCAACGACAAAATATTAGTCGCCATAAGTAGGTTAGGCGATGAAAAATAGTTTGTGACTGTTGTTTTGCGGTCGTAAAAAGTATTTGTCACTTTCACATTCGCAACTCTCATTTGCCGTCACATAGGCCGTCACTAAAGGTCTTTTGCGGTTGTATTTCTATTACTTGCGATGGCTTGTAGCAGTCGCAAAAAATACATTTTTTAGCAGTGATCATATATATCGAACTCCATTCTCATGTCGTTGTATGCAAATTGTGAGTAGGGCTACAAACGAATCAAACTGTTCACGAACAGGCTCAGCTCGACTCAGCTCTTTTAGTGAACGAGTCGAGCTCAAACTTGAATATTAAACTCATTTAGTAAATGAGTCGAGCTCGAACAAGCTCGGCTCGTCAAGTTTGACTAATTTATCTTTATTTAAATGATATAATAAATATATTATTTGTATATTAAATAATAGTATAGATACACTATTTATGTATTAAATAATATAAGTGGTTGTTTGGTATTTGCTAAAATAGCATTATCTTATTAAGGTCACAATAATCTTATTTAAGTCACATCACTTCTCTACCATATCATTTCAAACTCAACTCATATTTCACGTTTTATCGTAAAAAGTCAAAAAATATACTAATCTAGCACTTCCCAAAAAATCCCTAAATAATATTAAAAAAATCTTAATTGAGTCGAGCTTGAGCCAGTTACTTATCAAGTCAAGTTTAAGCTCAATAAATGAAGTCGATAAGTAAATAAATCGAGTTCAAACTCAGTAAAACTCGACTCGTTTGCGTTCTCATTGTGAGCCTTTAACATATATAAAACAGATTAAAGGCCAAATCAGATACATGGCCCACGGATAAGTACTGGACTTTTAAAACTTTAGTTGGTTGGGTCAGGCCGTATGATCTAGGACTGGGTCTTAAAATATAGGGCTAGACCGGCCCATTTAACATTGCAATAACAGCCCTAGGCCCTGTTTGGTGCAGCTTAAAAGCTGCTTATTTCAGCTTTCAGCTTAATTTAAGCTATTTTGATGTATTTGGTTTAACTTATAGCTTATAGCTTATAGCTTTTTGAAAGTCAGAAATCAGCTTATTCTTTGAGTGGGGCAGGAGATGCTTAATTTATAAGTCAAAAATTAGCTTATGTTCATAGTTATAAGCTATAAGCTGTTTAGGCATAAGCTATAAGCACTTTTCCACAGCTCTACCAAACAGGGCCCTAGTATAATGGATGCAAACCGGTTCGACCAGTAAAAGATGTTCGGGTTCGGGTAAGATCATTCGAGACGCAAATTCCCTAATTATAAAACACAAAAAGCATTAGGGACGCGGAAAGGGGTTCGTTCTGTGAAAACTCGCACCAAAGAACACAAACCAACATACTCTTTCTCTCTTGGACAAAAATTGTTTTCCCTCACTTTCTCTCTCTAGAATTGGCGTGGTTGTAGTTGTAGTTGTTGTTGAGATATGGAGGCGGCCACCGATGAACAAGCTCAATCGGCTGCGGCGGCGGCGGCACGAGTGGAGGACGAAGAAGAGCACGAAACGACCGAGGAGGAGAACTTGCTGTCCAAGGCTCAGACACTCATGGACAAGATTACTTCTTCTCCTGATAACCCTAACTCCAATGTCCTCCACGCCCTTTCCTCCATCCTCGAAACCCAAGAATCAAGGTTTCTCTCATCGTAGGGTTTTTTTGTTTTTTGTTTTTCTTTTTAAAATAGTAACGATATGGATTAGGGTATCATTGGGTTTGTGAATCACTTGAAAGTAAGTACATTGTTGATGGGGGTTTTGAATTAAAATTCGGGTTTGGGTAATTTTTGTTTGATCCGAAGCTTTTGGATAGCTTTCCTGAAGCTATTTCGAAGTTCAATTGTTCATTTCTGGTGATGCGTTCATTTCTATGCATGCAAATACCAGCTCTCAGATATACGTGTCGTGTGTTCAATTATTCATGTGGGTTTGTGAATATGTTTAATTATTATTGTTTGATATATACAAGTAGCTTTGGCGTTTTATTATTATTATTATTATAAATTTTATGAGACAAAAGGCATCCACGATGAGAGTTCATATTCAAAAGGAATTATCCCCCAGTAACACGATTTAGAACAAGTTTCAGGCTATGTAAATTGTTTTGTTTGGCCAAAATGAATTGTGTCTGATATTGCAATTTTTCTTTGTATAATTTACTTATGTAGCTGCTCTATCAGTGTGTGAATAAAATCTATTGTAACGGTGTTAGCATGCATCTTATATTCTCACTTTGAACATAAAACATATATCCAAAGTCTCAACCTTTTGTTGTTGCGGGTTTTGTAATTGCTAGGTTAAATTGATTGAGTCCATTTTGCACTTAAAAAATTAAGAGAGATATAGGGAAAACAAATAAAAAGATATAGGCCCCTGCCCCTTTCTCCTTGTGGCACCCAAAATTCATAGCAGGAAACTAGAGGAAACTTAAATGAACATTTCCCTTTTTATTTTATTTTAATTTTTTAAATTCGCATTCGCTAAATTTCAAGGTAAAGTTTGTTTGAGGTTGTAGCGCAAATCTAGGCTTAAGGTTCATATTGTTTTCACATGTAGGCCTGTTGTTTTTTATTCTGTCTTTTGGTATGATGTTGGATGATATTTTCTACTGTGCTATATACTAATAAGGCATGGACCATTTTTCCATGGGCATTGGGTTAGTTGGCAAAGCGGTGCGCAGGTGAGGGTAGGTTGTTTATATTGTTGTGGCTTTCATACTTAGAAGAAGAAGAAGACTAAAAAAAAAAAGAAAGAATTTCAGACCATTTCTATATACTTTTTTGGTAGTTCCATTATGACTTTATACTTCTTGTCCTAATACCTCTTTGCTTATTTTTATGATAGTTTCTAGCCTATTTATCCATTTCCCTTGTTTTTGTAATTGTAGATTCATGGAAGAGACAGGTCATTCTTCCTTGAACAATGGCAGGGCTTCTCATAATGTTGGACGGTTGGGGAACTTGGTTCGGGTAATTAATCTTATACAGCTTTGTTGAGATAATGATTTTGCACTTCATTTCTAATCATCTCATTTGTCCATATTTGTTCTCTTGCTATCAAATTTTTGACCGAAGATGACAAGTTTTTTTGAGCATGTTGCTTGCATTTGTTTATGTTTCCTGTCTGAATTACCCCCTTCTTTGTTCAGGAGAATGATGAATTCTTCGAATTGATATCTTCAAGGTTTCTATCCGAAGCCAGATACCCGGTATCTGTTCAGGCAGCTTCAGCAAGGCTTCTTTTCAGCTGTTCACTTACTTGGATGGTAAGTTACTGTTTCATTTACATTAATTACTTCGTATGATTTTGAATTTGTTTATGTTGATTAATTTGTTGCAATGTGAATGTGATACAGTATCCCCATGTTTTTGAAGAAACTGTTTTAGAGAACTTAAAAGGCTGGGTAATGGATGAGACAACCAGACCTGTTGAAGATCACAACTGGAAACATGAATTAGGGAGAAAGAAATCCTCAGACTCTGAAATGTTGAGGACTTATTCCACTGGCTTGCTTGCTGTATGCTTGTCAGGGTATGTTCTTAAAGCAATAATTTGTTTCTTTGGTCATATTTTTTTAATGTATTTAATAGGTTGGCAATATTTCTGGTTTGTTGGATTTATCATTGCAGTGGTGGTCAACTAGTGGAAGATGTGTTAACAGCTGGATTGTCAGCCAAGCTTATGCGATATCTTCGTATCCGGTCTATAGGGGAGACAAGTACAAGTCAAAAAGATGCTCATTATTTAGCAGAGAGCAAAAATGCATCTTCTGCTAATTGCATACGAGGTAGAGAAGAAGGTCGAAGTAGGTTTCGACAAGTTCCCGAAACTTCTCATTCGGATGCACCTAGAATAATAGAGGGAGGATCTTTAGATGACCAAAGTGCTGGAAAGGATCATGATAGAAGACAAGTACGCGGGGATGAATGTTGGGTTGATGGTGAACCTCCTGATGGTTTGGATGAAGGTCTCGATACATGTGAAGAGGTAGATGGAGATCGTGAGGACAGATGGCATGGTCGAGATTTACGTGATGGAAGGACAAAGCTCGGGGATAGAAATTGTCCTGCTAGATCTGGACGGGAGGAAGATTTTGATGAAAGTGTCAGGGATGAGTCCTCAAGGCGCAGGGTGAACCGTGGATGGGCAAGAAATAGAGGAAAGGGAAAAGTTAATGAAGGCAATGTAGAGAATGAACAGATTTTGACCTCTCCTGGTTCTGGAAGTAGATTAGGAGCTCAGGGGCGGAGCTTCAAGGACAGGAGTCAAAACAGAAATTTAGATGTTAAAAGATTCCCAGATCCTAAGAAGGGTCTGAGGAGGATAGGCACTGATGATTTTGTGATGGAAAGAGAGGATAATGATGACTGTTTCCAAGAATGCAAAGTTGGCACCAAGGATATTTCTGATTTAGTTAAGAAAGCAGTCCGAGCAGCTGAAGCGGAAGCCAGAGCAGCCAATGCACCGGCAGAAGCTGTTAAAGCAGCTGGTGATGATGCGGCTGAAGTTGTCAAAAGTGCTGCTTTGGAGGTTGGTACTCTCTCTTTCTCCCTTTTAAAATCTTTGCATGCCTTCAGCTTTCAGTCCTAAGTTTGTCACTATACATTCTCAGGAATTTAAAAAGACAAATGATGAAGAAGCTGCGGTTTTGGCTGCTTCTAGAGCTGCATCTACAGTTGTTGATGCTGCTAATGCGATTGAAGTCTCAAGGTTGGTCTTTTTACTTGTGTATGAGTTGTTTTAGAGTGAGTGATTATAATATAGTATGACGATTGGTTGTTTAAGCCCACTAGGCACTTACTGTACTAACTTGGTCTGTCTGCTAACATGTTATGTGGGATGGTGATAGGGGTTCAATTGGTGCTGATGCTGATTCAATGAATTCAAGGGGCACTGAACCAGAACCTGAACCAGAACCAAATGAAGAAGTTGAAGAATTTTTCATTCTTGATACTGACTCCCTTGCAAAACTGAGAGAAAAATTCTGCATTCAGTGTCTTGTGACACTAGGAGAATATGTTGAGGTTCTTGGGCCTGTACTGCATGAAAAGGGGGTGGATGTTTGTCTTGCCTTATTGCAACGAAGTTCTAAACATAAAGAGGCATCAAAGATTGCAATGCTCTTGCCTGATGTGTTGAAGCTGATCTGTACTTTGGCTGCTCACCGGAAATTCGCTGCATTATTTGTGGATCGTGGTGGCATGCAAAGATTGCTTGCTGTGCCAAGAGTTGCCCAGACCTTCTTTGGTCTTTCTTCATGCTTGTTTGCTATTGGTTCACTTCAGGTAATTGCATGTTATCTTTTGTGTTGAGATGCTATTATCGAATTGATTTATGTAATTAATAGCTTTCATCTTCAATTTTTTCCCCGTTTGTTCTGATCCTTTAATGATCTTACTACTAATTATCGTCTGGTGCATTTGTTTCATTGGTTTTGATTTCATAAAATAAAATTTCAGGGAATTATGGAACGTGTTTGTGCTCTTCCTTCGGATGTTGTACAACTGGTGGTTGAGTTGGCTCTTCAATTGCTTGAGTGCCCTCAGGATCAAGCCAGAAAAAACTCAGCTTTATTTTTGTCTAATGCATTTGTCTTCAGAGCAGTTCTCGATTCTTTCGATGCTCAGGATGGCCTACAGAAATCACTAAGTCTGTTGCATGATGCTGCCTTGGTAAGATCTGGGGTTAATTCTGGGGCATTGGGATCTACTAGCTCAGGATCACTTCGGAATGATCGATCTCCTGCAGAAGTACTGACATCGTCAGAGAAGCAGATAGCTTATCACACCTGTGTTGCTTTGCGACAATATTTCAGAGCCCATCTGCTACTGCTTGTGGATTCAATTCGTCCTAATAAAAACAACCGAAGTGCAGTCCGGAATATTCCACATGCTAGGGCTGCCTACAAGCCACTTGATATAAGTAACGAGGCTATGGATACAATATTTCGACAGATGCAGAAGGATCGGAAGCTTGGCCCTGCATTTGTAAGGGCTCGTTGGCCGGCTGTTGACAAGTTCTTAGCTTGTAATGGGCATATAATCATGTTGGAATTGTGTCAGGTTTGGTGTTTCTACTTTTCAATGGTTTACTAGTTTTCACTTCTTGCTTGTCCCAGCGACGTGAACAGTTTTTTTTGTCTGTAGGCCCCAACTATTGATCGTTATTTGCATGACTTGCTTCAATATGCATTGGGTGTTCTGCACATTGTTACACTGGTACCTTCCAGTCGCAAACCAATTGTGAATGCCACATTAAGCAATGACCGTGTTGGTATAGCAGTCATTTTGGATGCAGCAAATGGTGCCGGTTTTGTTGATCCGGAGGTAAAAGCTTCTTAAGTAACTTCTTTCTTTATTGTTTGTGTGCCACTAGTGCACCCTTGAGGCTAATATAATGACAATTCATATTTGGTTGGTAATTCTTTGTATTTCTTTTGTCAGATAATTCAACCGGCATTGAATGTGTTAGTCAATCTTGTTTGCCCTCCTCCTTCAATCAGTAATAAACCACCTCTTATTACACAAGGTCAGCCGTCTGCTTCTGTTCAAAACTCAAATGGTTCTGCATTGGAGTCTAGAAATGCAGAAAGGAATACCTCGGATCGAGCTGTTAACCTGCCCAGCCAGAATGAGCCCAGAGAGCGGAATGGGGAGTCGAATGTGGTAGATCGAGGCAGCTCAGCACCACTTTGTACACCATCTGTTAGCAATACTCCTCAAACACCTCTAACCTCTGGATTAGTCGGAGATCGTAGAATATCTTTGGGTGCCGGAGCAGGTTGTGCTGGCCTTGCTGCCCAACTAGAACAAGGCTACCGTCAAGCGAGAGAGGCTGTCCGTGCCAACAATGGTATAAAGGTTCTTCTTCAGCTCCTCCAGCCGCGTATAGTTACGCCTCCTGCTGCCCTTGACTGTCTTCGTGCTCTTGCATGTCGAGTACTTCTTGGTTTAGCCAGAGATGACACAATTGCACACATATTGACAAAGCTTCAGGTAAATGACTGTTATGATTTTAAGGTTTGATTTAATACCATGAAGATGAATGGGTTTGAGTTATCAGTTTTGGGCTCGTTGACTTGATTTCGTTTTTTAATATTCAAAAATTAACAATTAGTGTAGGGACATATATTTCATACCTTACCCAAGTGTCGAGTGTTTGATACAAGCACTTCACATATTTGGAACAATGTAACATGGTACTTTTCATATAGAAGCTGCCTTCTGAATATGATTGTTGAATGCAGCAAGCGTATGGCAAATATGAATTGCTTTAAAGTGAATTCCTTTTTATTCTTGTTGCTTTATTGTTTGAGATGAGGTTTTTAAAATATGTGATGCTTTGTCGCTTGTAGTTGCTTAGTTGTTTATTACTTTTATTTTTGAAGATTTCCATGTAGTTATGCAGAATCTTACTTCTGGTGTAATGTTCTCACAATTATCTTATTCTGTTTGCCATGTTTCCACTCGTTGAATGAGTTCTGTGATAATATTATTTTGCCATCCTGTATTTTGCTGCTTTAAATGATCTCTGTAATGCTCTACCTACTGTCTGGCTTAATGCGAACACAATGTTATTATTGCATTTGATTAACTCATATTTGTGAATTGAACTTGCTGTTTTAGGTTGGGAAAAAACTATCAGAACTAATTCGAGATTCAGGCAGTCAGGCTTCTGGAAATGAGCAGGCCAGGTGGCAGGCTGAACTTGCCCAGGTGGCATTTGAGCTAATCGCGGTAAGGATCAGTTTCTATCGTAAGATGATTTTTCATTAGAAAAGGACTGCTTAATGTAGATAAAAATTTGAAGCTCCAAAGGTGGCCAAACAATTTGGGTTGGGGTATGGATGCCAGACAATGAAATTCACTGGCATGCCAACTCTTAGGCATTAGGCACAATACTCCTTGTATTGTACTATTCAAGCTTCAATTTTGTTTTGGTTGTTCATGTCACTTCATTTATTCTCATGCTTTTAAGTAACTTACGTAGCGCACATAGTACTTCTGCAAGAGTGCAACGTTTTGATATTATGTATGTTGTAGAGAGTATCCGTATGGATGCACTACTAATGCATTTCAAATGTTTAGATTCTTGGGGATAATTTATATAGCATTTGTTGCTATTCCTGTGGTGGACACAAGTTGTATCTGATTGTGTGCTGTTGGTTGGGAAGACAGGAATTACTGCATGATTTGGTATTCTTAGATGCCCTTCTAAGTACACAAAAGAAGCCCTCGTCATTATGTTTACTTACGTAAGCTTATATGGCATCTGTTCTAATTGCATAATTGCACAGATCATATTTCTTTTGTCATATAAATAAATAAATAAACAAAAGGAGTGCAAAAATTCTTGTTGGGATTAAGTAACAAAAGAAAAGGGAAACATGGATGGTCATGGATTGCTTGCCAATATAAAGTGTTTACTTTACAGTAGTTGAAGTCTGTTGGATACAAGTTTGTAACATTCATTAGAACAGAGCAATTAAACTTTGTTATAGTGAGACCTTTAATTAAGGTCATCAGAATCTATAGGAAGTACAAGTGGCTCATGTTGCAATATTATGTATGTTGCAGATTGTAACTAATTCTGGGCGTGCAAGTACATTGGCAACTACTGATGCAGCGATCCCCACTTTGAGGCGTATAGAGAGAGCTGCAATAGCTGCCGCCACTCCTATTACTTACCATTCCAGGTACTTGATGCTTGTCATGGGAAATCATATTCCACTCTTCAATGTTGACTCTTTCCATTTTACATTCCTTTTTTGTTTTTGGTTTTGTAAATTTCAGGGAACTTCTACTTCTTATTCACGAGCACCTTCAAGCATCTGGTTTGTCTACAACTGCGGACTCACTTCTAAAAGAAGCTCAGTTGACTCCTTTGCCTTCTTTGGCAGCACCATCATCGCTAGTGCATCAATCCTTGGGGCATGAGACACCATCGATACGAATCCAATGGCCATCTGGACGTGCTTCTGGTGGATTTTTGTCTGATAAACCAAAACTTGCTTCACGAGATGAAGATTTCAGCATGAAGTGTGATTCAGATGTGACTTCTTCAAAGAAGAAATCGTTGGCATTTTCATCATCACTAAATTTACAGTCATCAAGCAGCAAAATCACCAGTACGTCAAAAAAGTCTTCTGCATCAGGAAGTACACCAGAAACACCATCAATATCTGCAGTGAAGCCCAATTTGGACACTGATACTCAGTGTAAAACTCCAATTGCATTGCCGATGAAACGGAAGTTAACAGACTTAAAGGAACTAGGGTTGACATTATCAGTGAAAAGACTCAACACCAGTGAGCATGGACTGCGGTCTCCAGTTTGTTCGATGCCTTATGCTGCCCGTAAAAGCAGTGCACTGACTGATGCTAGTGTGTTTTGCACACCAAGTTCTAATGTGAAAGATCTTCAAGGGCGATCAATACTGAATAGCGCTCTGGCAGAGAATTTGGATGATAACCAGTACAACACTCATGTGGGTCTGATGACACCTTCTTCCCAATTTGAAATTCCAAGTGATCCACAACCTACTGGCACTGAAAGGTTAACCTTGGAATCTCTTGTTGTTCAGTATCTGAAACACCAGCACCGCCAGTGCCCAGTTCCTATTACTACTTTACCACCGCTCTCTCTCTTGCACCCACATGTCTGTCCGGAACCAAGACAAAGCTTTGATGCTCCATCAAATGTAACAGCCCGACTCAGTACACGTGAATTTAGAAGTATGTATGGTGGAGTCCATGGAAATCGTAGGGATCGTCAATTTGTCTACAGCAGATTTAGACCATGGCGAACTTGCCGCGATGATGGTGCTGCTCTTTTGACATGCATTACTTTTCTTGGTGATTCCTCTCAAATTGCTGCAGGCAACCATTCTGGAGAGCTCAAAATTTTTGACTCAAACAGCAACAGTGTGCTGGAGAGCTGCAGTAGCCACCAGTATCCTTTGACACTTGTCCAGTCGTATCTTTCCGGAGAGACCCAGTTGGTTCTCTCATCGAGTGGTCATGATGTACGATTGTGGGATGCATCTTCAGTTTCAGCTGGGCCAAGGCATTCATTTGAAAGTTGTAAGGCAGCAAGGTTCAGCAATTCTGGGACCATATTTGCAGCATTGTCATCTGAGCAATCCCAACGAGAGATTCTCTTATATGATATCCAGTCATGTCATTTGGATCTAAAACTGACAGACACAACTGTGACTCCTTCTGCTCGGAGCCATGTTTATTCCCCTGTTCACTTTAGCCCTTCAGACACGATGCTGCTTTGGAATGGAGTGTTATGGGATCGGCGGGGCTGTGGTCTTGTCCATCGATTTGATCAGTTTACAGACTACGGTGGTGGTGGCTTTCATCCCGCTGGAAATGAGGTATGGAGAACTTTCCCTATCATGGAATAGTTAGTTTAGTCTATGTGAAAAAAGTCCAGTCATTGAAGCTGAAACAATTATTTAGTTTATGTGATCAGTATATTGAACATTGCCATGCAACCCATCATAGATTTGATTATACGTGTGCTGAGCTTCTGTAACAATTATTTACACTAACCAAAATGTGTTATATGGCCTTTTGTACTTCTCCCATTGTATCCATTGTTCACCGGATATGATAAGGGGAAGGATATTGAATGTGTCCAACACCCGTACTCAATTTAGACACTTAGATTATCTGATTTTATATGATGTTTGAAAAAGACGACTCACATTTGTTAGTAAAGAAATATTCCTAACTTCTTAAACGAATAGAAGATATAAATTCTACGGTTGTTCTAAATCTGATTTATTTTTAAATACAGTTCTAAATAATTATCACAATGCTCGGTTACTATTTTTTAAAAACACTTTTCAGAAAATTCTACTTTCTTATTTTTCGTATTTTTTTGTTTTTTCTGAATTTTTTTAATATTTTGAGCAATTTTTTTAATTTTTAGACATATCTAATATAAATATACCTAAAAGGTAAAAAAAAAAAAATTGAAAAAAACCTTTTAAAAATTTACTAAATACAAAAAATATAAAAAAAAATACGAAAATTCGGTACATTTTTTGTATTTTTATGTATTTATTAATTTTTAAAAATATTTTTTCACAAATTTTTTACTTTTTAGATACATCTAAGTAAGGTGTATCTAAAAACGTAAAAAAAATGTTTAAAATTTTAAAAATATTCACTAAAAACAAAAAAACACGAAAACCAAAAAATTCAATTTTCAAAAAACTTAATTCAAAAAACTCAAACCAAACACATTGTATAACATCTTATCTAAAAATATTACAATATCATTATGCAATATATATACACAAGTGTTTATGACATTTCCCCATAGCCGTACACAATTATTGCATACATATCCCAATAATTTAAAATTTAGATTTAGGAAGATCCGATGTTTGGACATGCACTTACACCCAACACTCGTGTCCAAGTCCATATAACATAAATCAAAATAAAAAAATTAGAAGCATCAGTCTTTACAATTTTTTTTAAAATATTTTTTTAAATGTAAGAAAGCTTGGTGATTTTATTCTTAGTTTATGGCACATCTGATGTTTGAAATGTAAAAAGGCTTGATGTTTTATGTTTTGAATGGGAAGCCGGTCGAGAAAATTTGGGGATGGGGCAACTTTGCAAAATGTTTGTTGGGTCTGTTTTGTGGAACTAATTCCACTACATTTGCCTCTAGTCTCCCTTACTAAAATTTGATAATAACGTTGCACCATTGGCATTTTTTAAGAATTGTTCTTCTTTCAAACAGGTGATTATAAATTCTGAAGTCTGGGATCTGCGGAAGTTCAAGCTCCTTCGAAGTGTACCTTCCTTGGACCAGACGGTAATCACATTCAATGCTAGTGGAGATGTAATATATGCAATTCTGAGGAGAAATCTTGAGGATGTTACTTCATCATTTCATACTCGCCGCGCCAAGCACCCCCTTTTTTCTGCTTTCCGCACAGTGGATGCTGTCAACTATTCTGACATAGCAACGATTCCTGTAGACCGGTGCGTCCTAGATTTTGCAACAGAGCCAACTGATTCTTTTGTCGGGTTGGTTACAATGGATGATCAAGAAGAGATGTATTCTTCGGCTAGGGTATATGAAATCGGTCGTCGGAGGCCTACTGATGATGACTCTGATCCTGATGATGCTGATAGTGAAGAAGAGGAAGACGATGATGATGAGGATGGTGACGAGGACCCATTACTGGGACTGGATATTGATGGGGACGGTGACAGCGATGATGCTGATGATATGAGCAACGATGACGATGATAGTGTGAGCGAGTTTGAAGATGATGATGATGATGAGGAAGATGGCGATTTTGTCATGGATGGTATCGACTTTGACGGAGGAGGTGGAATATTGGAGATTGTGGGAGAGGGTGATGAAGATGATGATGACAGTCAGGTGGTGGAATCTCTGAGTAGTGGGGATGAAGAGAATTTTGGAGGTTTTGGCTTTTAAAAGGTATATAAAATAATCATTTGAGGGAAGGAAAAAAAAAGGGTGTATTTATAGTAATTTGGATGATGTAATTACTGTTTATGGGTTTTTATTAGGGAGAAGAGAGAGAGGGAGAGGATTCTTTTAAGTTGAGGAAACTTCATCAGATCTTTGTACCAAACAGCTCATTAGAGTAAAGTTATACATTGTTAGGGCTGGTCTTTTTTTGCCTCAATCCATAATTTAAATGGAAATTTTGATTCCTGGTGATTTTTTTATTTTTTATTTTTTAATTAAAAAGAAGCTGACTGTTTCTAATGCATGATTATTATTTGATTGGATGTCATGTCTGCAGGATTAGGGTTATTATGAAATTTGTTTTTGGGAGGGTGCCCATGTAATGTTAAAAGAGCTCAACTTGTTTCGATTCTTATTAGGGATATTAGGTAATGTTAAAAGAGCTCAACTTGTTTCGATTCTTATTAGGGATATTAGATAATTTGTTGTTGGAAAGAAGCCAAATGTAATGTTAAAAAAAAGAGCTCGGCTTGTTTCCGTTTTTATTAGGTGATTTATCGTTGGAAAGGAGTCAAATATAATAATGCTAAAAGAGTTCAGTTTGTCTCTTGTTAATTGGTTTCCATTGATAGTGATATAATAAAAATAAAAATTTAAAACTTAAAAAATTAGTTTTAGATGCATCAATCAATCCAATTTTATTAAATCTTGCAGGATTAGGTATAGGGATATTAGGTAATTTGTTTGTTGGAAAGGGAGTCACATGTAATGTAATGTAATGTAATGTAATGCTAAAAGAGCTGGACTTGTTCTTATAATATTAGGGATATTAGGTAATTTGTTGTAAAAACGGAGCCAAATGTAATGCTGAAAGAACTTGGCTTGTCTTTGTTCATATTAGGGTGGTTGGTTAGGTAATTTATTGCGAAAAGAGCTCCACTTCACTTATCTCCAGCTCTTTGAATTTGACTGACCAATTCACGCACTAAAATTGTGATGCATCAACAACATGTTGTGAACAGAAATTTAGATTTGTCTAACTACTACTACTACTTACCAACATCTTTCAAATTAGTCTATATGACGCTAATATTAGGTATGTGAGCATGGGTACACAAATTTGACATTATACTCCCTTCCCTATCTACTTGAACTGAGCCATAGTTTACTTAAGCTTGATTCAATTATTAAAAGACCTTAAAAATATAAATAATTTGAGTCACTTGCCAAACGAGTTGAGCTCCAGCAAATTTTGAATAAAAAAGACTAATTACGACCACAATTGAACACTTGATTGCATGATTAACATGCATAGATGAAATATTATATATAGACATAATTGGTAAGAGCGAATAAAAGAATGAGAAGTTAGATCACTCTTGATTAGGGAACCAACACCTCTTTCACCAAGCCCCACCCTGTACAGGACATACTAATTAACTAACATAAATTTTTGGATCCGAGGGTGTAAGCCCCCCATATTAAAATGCAAACAAACTCTTTTTGGCCAAAAAAAAAATAATTTCATAGATAATTAGAAAGGTTTAACAGTACATAAAGAGATTGTGACAGAAAACAAAAACACCACATATCAAGACAGCTTACAAAAAGACAATCAAAACTGATGCTTAACAAAAATACAAACAAAACAGGATCTAATATTGGCATATCCAATTGTACCAATAAGATTACTACTACTATCTATTGTCCAAAATCTCTTTACTAATATGCATATTAGTAAAGACATTAATATGCATATAATTATACTTCTCAGCCCACTTTAGTGCACACAACAATGCTGAAAGGAGAGCACATTTTATCGAAACAAACAATGATGAAAGGAGAGCACACTCCCTTGTTATCGACCAAGTTTTAAAGCAAGAACCCACCATTAATGAATTAGTCATGGTAACCATATCAATACCCGCCACTTCACAGAAGAGGAAATAGACCAGTCCTTGACAGAAGGAAGAGGAGGCAAGATCTTTGGCTAAAAAGAATCTGAAGAGGAGTAACTTGCTCAAAACAAAATGATTCCGGGATTTCAGATAGCCAATGGATAGCACAAATATGAATAACAACCACCTGCAGGGAAGAGTTATCAGAGTAGAAGTTAGTGAACCAAAACCCAAGCCATAAACATTAATTCAACAATAGCAAAAAGTCAACACAAAATTCTTGCAAATATAAAATTTCATTGATGATATAGAAATCACACCTTTTTATCTCCCTTGAGAAAACAAGGGCTTCTTTTTAGCTGGAAAAGCTATTGTCCAGATTGTAATACAATAGCTATGCAATCACTCTTGACTTAGCAGCAGCAGCCCACAAATTGAACAGAAGATCTGAGAGCAAGCAATTTCACACACTATACCATATAGAAATATGTAACCTACACATAACATTATGTGTAGATATGTGTATAGGTTATATTATTTACTTCAAGGACCACAACACAGTTCAAACATTTCTTCTCTGAGGTCTGTAATGCTGCCTCAGTAATTAGAAATAGGAAAAACTTCATTTTATCTGCCCGTGATTTACTCCATGTGCGGTTTACCTTGACATCTGGAAATGACCATTTTCATCACTTTTTTAAGACTCAAAATGCACCTTACGCGCTTATGCTTTACTCCACATGCAGTTTACCACCTGCCATTATATGAGCAACCACTTCATGTCTAGGCACATGTTTCACACTTGCTGTTAACTTGGACAGAATGTATGACGATGCATTTTTTAGTCAACAAACCATAGGGGATTATGTTCATATTTCCAAATGACGGGTAACTACACAAGGAGTAAAACCATGATGGGATAAAGTGAAGTTTGCCCTTATAAATATGTCTCTGATACAGAAGGTTCAGCCCCGATGTGGCTCATAACACTGCAAGTTAATTATTTTCACTTTCCCCTCCCTGCAAGCGGGCATCCCCAAAGAAAAAATAATAATAGTAAACTGTAAAAATGTGCCAATCAATCAATCTACGAAACAGTAAAAATGTACGGCAATGCAACTTTCCAGCTTTGTCACTTCAAACATCAGAACTGTGCCATTCTCCCTATGGACATTTCTTAGTTCTCTTCCTGAGGATCACCAATCACAGAAATCACGTATGTTGAGGTCACTTTGACACAGAATTCAACTTGCCTAGTTTTTCCAGGCAACAACTCAGCGCCCCTCTCAACTGAAGACTGAGAGAGAGAGAGAGAGATCTTCCCATACAGAGAATGAGTTTTCAGGCACATTAATTTCTACAGAAATAAATTCAGCAAAGAGCAGAAAACAGATACATGAATTAAGAAAACAGACATAATTTTTCAATCCAATTCAGGTGGAATAACTTGTGCAAGCTACAATTTTCTTCTTCTTTCATATGATTGTGTCAGGCCTTATACATAAAAAAAAAAAAAGAGGTTTAATAGTCGTCTCAAAATGTCCAACATTTATAAGAAATTTAGTCATATCATGCTTTTCTAGTAGTACAAGAGAAAAATTTCCACACCCCAGTACAGAAGTAACATGAAGCGTGCTCATGCACTAAAGCAAGGTAAGCTTATGGTTTCTATGTTATAATATATTTTCCCTATTCTTGTTGCTTAAATTGAAACCTTCTGAAATAAAATAAGGAAATGACAAAATACCCGTCTCATGCTCCATATAATGGAATGGAGTTACCCATCACTCGCACATTTATGTTTCAACAACAAAAATATAACTTTATTAAAATCAACTATTGGTTCTGCCAAAAATATATTATCTGGAGAAAATTTTAACCTGGTCAGGCAGTCTATGCTATTTTCCCAACATCTTCATTAGACTGTCAAGTCCATGCAGCACTGCTACAAGAAGACAATCAAAACCGCCACTTACAGAAAGACAAATAAAACAGGATCTTGTACTAACAAGATTACTACTTTCCATTACCCATAATCTCTCTATCTCCCTTCAGCTATCTAAACAAAGATTTGGAGTTAGTAAAGACATTAACATGAATACAATTATACTTCTCAGACCACTTTAGTGCACATAACAATGCTGCAAGTAGAGCACACTCCCTGGTTCTCGACTAAGTTTTAAAGAAAGAATCCATCATTAATGAATTAATCATAGCAATCATACAAATACCCACTAGTGCACAATGGTTGTTCACTGCATAACCGCAATGAAGATTAACCAGCAAGTGCTCATTAGAGCAATCAGAAAGTGAGTGGAAAATATAAAAGCAAGAGGAGGAAGAAGAGTTAACGATCCTAAAGTTGTAAGAGACACAATCAGGGAGAGGAAAACCTTATCTGAAGAAAAATGCAGTTTACTAGAAGAGGAAATAGACTGTTTACAATCTTGATGTTTGTGGAAAACTGTTGAAGTTGAATCCTAAGAAAAACAAATGGACTCCTAACTTACTATGTGCTACTCATGTTGAAATTCATTGTTGCATCTTTCTTTTGTCTAAGATGCTGGCATAGGGGCACATTAAATTGTAGAATGTGGAGGAGGTTCTTCGCATTGGCAGGGATTTTGTCTGCATTCTATTTATTGGTTTTATGGTGAGCTTATGATAGTGGGGTTTATTTCATAAGAATGACTCAGCAAGAAAAACAATAAAAGGATAGAGAGAATTATACATACAACAATAAGACTACCGCAAACCAGTGAAATGATCGGAAAGATGAGATGTTATTTTTGGCTACTTGTAAGAAAATGTTAACTATCTATTGCTATTTGTATATTCACTTGAATGCAGCCATTGATGCTATGACAACCACCACATTGTTGTCTAATCTTCTTTTTCAAAATATAATGCACCTTAAAAAGTACTTGACAGAGATATATTATCATGAGTAGCAAAAAAGATGAGATTTTACATGAAAACAAAATCCCGACAACCAACAAAAGTGCAATAAAACACTGCATATTTATTATTCACTACAAAAAAGAGAGCCGACACAGAGTTGTAATGACATAAAAACATGAGCACCAGAGCATCAATTTGTTTGGCATCCAATACAATTATTAGCGAAGCCAGTTTCAAAATCCAACAACAAAGCACAAATTTTTTTTTTATTATTACCCAGTAATCATTGTACCAGCTCCTTCATCAGTGAGAATTTCGAGCAAAAGTGAATGCGGTACCCTCCCATCGATGATGCTAGCGGTTCTCACCCCTTGCGCTATCGACCTCACGCAACAATTCACCTTGGGAATCATACCGCCCGCAATCTTCCCATCTTCCATCATTTTCTTCACCCCTCTGAGGTCAATTTCCTTCACCAAACTCCTCGGATCGTCCTTGTTTTCCAAAATCCCCGCAACGTCCGTCAACAAAATCAGCTTCTCCGCCCCCAACGCTGCCGCCAATTCTCCGGCGGCGGTGTCGGCGTTGATGTTATATGGCTGCCCAGTCTCGTCCGCCGCCACGGAAGCTATAACCGGGATGTGATTGTTCTCGATGAGGGGGCGGAGGACGGAGGAGTCGATGGTGGCGATTTCGCCGACGAACCCTAATTGGGCTGATTTGGGGGAAGGGCGCGCGGTGAGGAGGCGGCCGTCGATGCCGGAGAGGCCGACGGCGGTGGCACCGGCTTGGTTGATGAGAGAGACGAGGTGTTTGTTGACTTTGCCGACGAGGACCATGGAGACGATTTCCATGGTGGAAGCGTCGGTGACTCGGAGGCCGTTGAGGAAGTTGGGTTGGATGCCGAGTCGACTCAGCCATTGGTTGATCTCGGGGCCACCGCCGTGGACGAAGACGATGCGGATGCCGACGCAGGAGAGGAGGACGAGATCGGAGATGACGGAGGATTGGAGGGACGAGGATTTCATGGCGGCGCCGCCGTATTTGACGATGATGGTCTTGCCGCGAAACTTCTGGATGAAGGGTAGGGATTCGGAGTAGATGTTGACTCGTAACTGAGCTGGGATTGAGTCATGTACTACTACTGTTTCTTGTGTTGATAGACACGATTTGATGAGGCGCTTCGTGGTGTTGGTGGGGAAGGTGGCGGCGGAGAAAGGAGGGGGAGGAGGGTGGCGGAGGGATTTGGGTAATTCTGGAAATGATGAGAGAGAGGAAGAGAGGTGAGAGAGTTTTGATGCCAGCATCTCTCTGGTGTTGTCTCTCTCTCTGGTGTAGGGCTTTGGTTTGGGGTTTTGGTAGTGTTTGGGGGAACATAAAAATATTTGAGTGACGGAATTGTAAGGAGATCTCTCAGGCACATTTTTTTTCCATTAAATTTGAATTAAAAATTTCTTTTATTATCAAATCATCTAGATGTTCGGCCAAATTTTTCTTAATTTTTGTCTTGACGTAGTCGTTCAGGACGTATAAAAATGTAACGATAATAATGGTTTGATAAAAGTTACATATATCTTTAATTTGATGAAAATTTTAAGAAATTAAAAATTTGTTGATTTATTTGATAAACGGTTAGAGTAATAAAACGTAATTTTTTTTATCAAATTTAAATTTAATCATTTATTTGTTGAATCATTAGAAATGGTCTCTGTGTTTCTAATATGCACCAATATTTCTTGAATAAAATGTATAATAATAGACCTTTCGAATTGTTTTGAGAAATTAGTTAAACAATCCCATTTTGTAGCTCGAAACATATGTGGCTCGAATGGCCCGAGTACGAAATGGTGACGTTTTGGTTTTGGTTTTGATTTTGGTGTATTTTTTTTTTCTCTCTCTCTCACATTTTTTCTGAAACACTTGGAGTGCTGATCACCCATGGTCATTTTGGCATCTTCATCAACAACATCTTCTCGTTTTTTCTAGAGCTGGAGCTAGACACCTTCATCAACATCTTCATCAACAACATCACCATCGTCATCAACAACATCTTCATCTATCATCATCATCATCATCATCAATTTTTATTTTTATTTTTTCAGATCCAGATCTACTTAGGGGAAAAAAAAAAAAAAAAAAAAAAAAGGAGAGAAAACAGAGTTTCAAAGGATCAGAGGAACATCTTCATCAACAACATCTTCATCATCATCATCAATAATTTTTTTTTTTTCCAGATCCAGATCTACTTAAAAAGAAAAAAAAAAGAAAAGAAGAGAAAACTAAGTTTAAAAGAGGAGATCGGGCGCCACCACCATCACCAACCATCACCGTCGATCATCTTTTCTCCTTTTCTGTCGGCTCTTCTCTTCTGTCTCTCTCTCTCCTCTTCTCTTCCCTCTGTGTTCGTGTTCGAAAGAATAAAAAGGAAAGAAAAAAAAAATACTCAAAACGCCGTCGTTTTGGGCAGTTCGGGCCATTCGAGCCGGACGAATTTCAAGTTACGAATCATTTTTCTTAGTTAAAAATTGATTTTTTTGATTTTTGATTTTTTTTTTAAATGTATAAAAATTAAAAAGATGATATAATTCAAAATAAGTTATAAAAATGAAAATTTGTGTTTTAACCAAGCCCCTCGTCAAGTTTGTAACCTGCGTTTAGTAAATTTGATGGGACTATTTTTATTTTTAATTATTTTTTAAAAATTATGTAAAAAAAAAAAAAAAAAAACCATCTAGAAGTTTTTTAAAAAATAATAAAAAATTTAAACAAATTCACTAAAAATAAAAATCAAATTTTCCATTTTTTATCTTTAATAAACTTTTTTATTTTTATTTTTTTTATCTATCTAATTGAGTATATTGTGAAATTTTAATATTTTTTGATTTTTTTTTAAAATAAGTTCATTAAAATAAAATTAAAAAATTATTAAAAAAGTAAAATTTAAATGATATCTAAATTGGCAAATTTAACATTTAACCACTTTGTTAATGTTATGAATGCCATAAATTTATGAAATATTTCTCTTTCTAATTTTTACTAGCGGAGGAAATTCACAATATTTTTTTTTTAAGTTTAAAGTTTCAATTTATGGAATATTTCTCTTTCTAATTTTTACTAGCAGAAGAAATTCACAATATTTTTTTTTTCTCTAAGTTTATAGTTTCTTACTCATTTTTGTACCACTTATCCACTCAACTCTCTCTTTCTATCCCGTCGGTTACACTCTCTCCTAGCTCTCTCTCTTTCTCTTCATTGCCATTAGGAATGGCAACGGGGCGGGGCGAGGCGGGGCCGGGGATCGCCCTCCCCATCCCCGATCCCCGATGGGGAACCTATCACCACCCCCGCCCCCACCCCCTAACGGGGATCGGGTTTCCCCGACCCCGAAGAGTCCCCGGCCCCAAAAAAAAAAAAAAACTTCAATAACAAATTCAACAACAGATTCAACAACACAACAGAACAACAACGGATTTAACAACACAACACTCAGATTTAATAACAAATTCAACAAATTCAACAACAGATCTGATTCAACAAACTGATTTAATAACAGATCTGATTTAATAATAGATTAATAACAGATTAATAATAGATCGATTTAATAACAGATTCAACAAACTCAGATTCAACAGATTCAACAACACACCCAGATCTGATCAACAACACACCCTGTGAGCGAGGAGTGACGCCGTGAGAGAGAGAGAAGGAGCGGCCGACGCCATCGCCGTAAGCATCGTAGCAGAGAGAGAGAGAGAGACCGAGAGAAAAGAGGGAGGAGTGACGCCGTGAGGGAGAGAGGAGGAGTGGCCGACGCCGACGCCATCGCCATTGCCTTGAGCATCGCAGATTCGTAGCAGAGAGAATGAGAGAGAGGCCTAGAGAAGAGAGAGTGTGAGTGGGAGAGAGGAGTGAAATGAGTCTTAAAATAACCTAAGCACATATATATGCGGTATATATATTCGGGGATATATACGTGGAGTAGTTGGGCCGAGGCCGGGGTTGGGAAATCTATCCCTGTCCCCGGCCTGAAAATGATCGGGGGTTTATTTTTTAATACCATCCCCGACCCGTGGGGAATTTTTTTCGGGGAAAAACTGTCTCATTCGGGGTCGGGAGGTCGGGTTCCCGTCAGGCCGGTTTCAAATTGCCATCCCTAATTGCCATAATCAATTTCTCATTCTATCAATCCTCATCGCAACATCCTTCTCCTCCAATTCCACCTTCATTGAATCTATCTCCGATTCCAAGTTTCCAGACGAATCTTCAATTTCCCTCAGGTTCTATTTCTCTTTCTATCCCTCTCGCTACATATTTAGTTTATTTATATGTTGTGTTAAGCTTGATGTTGTATTTAGGAACGCCAAGTTTTTGGAAGCACATGATCTCTCCCTTCAATTTCGATGCGTTGAGCAAAAGAAATAGAAGTTTAGGTTAGAGTTTTAATGGGTTTTTATTTTTCAGTCTTAATTATTAGTTTGAATTAAAGCTTTGTTGAATTGAAAGGGGATTGATCAATCTAGGGTATATCAATGGCATCACCTGGTTTCTTTCTTACTTGTATGCTCTATTTTCTAGTTAAGCTAAAACACAATTTTATTTGATTTGGTCAAAAACACAGAGAAAATTAGTAAAAATACAGAGAAAATTATGAGCAAATTACAAAGAAATTTTTGAGCAAATTAGAGAAAATTCAAAACAAAAATTTGAAAACACAGAGAAAATCAGAGAAATTGAGCAGATCAGAGAAACTTCAAACATCTCCGAAAAAATGTTGAAGGACTCTAATCACTATGAAAATATTGCATGTCTTTTATTCTTTAATATTTTAATATCAAGATCTTAAAAAAATATCCCCTTAAATTTATTTTAATTTTCAAATATTAATTTATGTGATCTCATGAGAAACCACGCATATCAATAATTGAGATGAATCTTCTGTGCTATTTTTCTATTTCAATATTCTATTTCACGCTTTAGAGTAATGTTAGACATCCACATATTTGACTCATAATGATGTGATAAGGGGATTGAGCACTCAATAATGGGATGTGTAATAAATAAAAAATTAACACTTATCCTAAAATATCATTGCAGGTAAAATTGTAATTTATTTATTTATTTATTTTTTTAGGCTAACTTCGACGGGTTGTTAACAACTCCGTCGGTCCCAAGCCCGAGTTAAGGAGGAGGGTTGTGTGTTAGGTAGCCGACAGCCAACACGTAAAAAAGCCGCTTGGATCCCTTATGAAAATGAATCCTACTTTGAATCGTTTAAATGCTAGGTCGTTCCCCTCAAGTGACGCGTTGCGCCTGCCTCCGGGTGTTTCGAAAAGTGAGCAAGGGGCGCTGCATCGACGCCTGGGTGCGGTGAAAAATGGGCAAAGATTTTCACGTTTTTCTGGACGAGCGCGGGTAAAGAAGCTAGTCTAAGACTATAGGTTTAGGATAGCCACTTGAAACATGAGAACCTTAACTGGTAGGACGATGGAATTGGTAGATGTTATGATTAGGAGGAGAGTTAGTATAGCTTGCATACAAGAAACTAAGTGAACGGGAGAGAAAGCTAGGGAAATTGAGGATCTAGGTTTTAAACTTTATTATAGTGGTAAGGATAGACGCAGGAATGGGGTAGGAATCATAATTGCCAAGGGTCTTGTGGAAACTGTGGTGACGGTCACTAGGAAAGGAGATAAGATTATGCTAATTAAACTAGTTATTGGAGGGAATATAGTGAATATTATTAGCGCTTACGCCCCTCAAGTAGGGTTAGATGATCAGACTAAGAGGGATTTTTGGGAGCAAATGGATGAGATCTTACAGGAGATACCCGTAGAAGAGAACCTGGTTATAGGTGGAGATTTTAATGGCCATGTGGGCATAGATAAAGTAGGTTATGAAAGGGTGCATGGTGGATATGGTTTTGGTGACAGAAATGAGGCTGGAGAGAGAATCTTAGATTTTGCGTTGGCTTCTGACCTGGTGGTGGCCAATACTATGTATAAAAAGAGGGAGGAGCATTTGATAACCTTTAAAAGTGGATTAGTTAAGAGCCAAATAGATTATTTCTTAGTGAGAAAAGTGGACTGCCTAAAATGCAATGATTGTAAGGTGATTCCTGGTGAGAGTCTGGTATCTCAACATAGGATTTTGGTACTAGATTTATGTTTTAGAGGGAAATACCAAGTTAGGAAGGATGGTGGCGTCGTAGGACAAGATGGTAAGACTTAAAAGGGGATAAACTAGAAATATTTAAGAATCGAATGGATAAGGAAGGTACTTGGGACTTAGAAGGTGATGCTAACACTATGTAGAATTCGATGGCCAATTGTATGAGGAGAATCTCAAGGGAAGTGCTTAGAGAGTCGAAAGGAACGAGACCCAGCTCTAGGGAAACTTGGTGGTGGAGGGAAGAGGTCCAAACGGTAGTTAAGTCAAAAAAAAGAGTGCTTTAAAAAGTGGCAGAAGGATAGAATTGAGGAAAACCTTAAGAGCTATAGATTGGCTAATAAAGAGGTCAAGAAAGTAGTGAGAGAGACTAAGTTGAAAGTTTATGATGACCTACACACTAGACTAGATAGTAAAGAGGGAGAGAAGAGGGTATACAAACTTGTTAAGATACGGGAGAGGAAAACAAGAGATTTTAATCAAGTAAAGTGCATCAAGAGTGAGGATTCTAAGGTATTGGTGAAGTATGATGAGATTAAGGAAAGATGGAAGAATTATTTTGAGAAACTGTTAAATGAGGAACATGGAAGTACGATAATAGGGGAAGAAATAATCAGTAATACGATAAACCAAGACTATAGGTTCTATGGCAAGATTAAGAACTTTGAAGTAGAGATTGCACTTAAGAAGATGAAATCAAATAAGGCTTTAGGACCTGATGATATCCGTATTGAAGCTTGGAAGTGTTTGGGTAAAAAGGGAGTTGCTTGATTGACTAGGTTGTTTAGCAAAATTTTGTTGACTAGGAGCATGCCAGATGAGTGGAGGAAGAGTATTTTAGTGTCAACCTATAAGAATAAAGGTGATGTCTAGAATTGTAACAACTATAGAGGAATTAAGCTAATGTGTCATATAATGAAAGTGTGGGAGAGGGTGATGGAACGCCGATTGCGAGACATAACAGGGTGTCAGAGAATCAATTTGGGTTTATGCCTGGTAGGTCAACAATGGAAACTATTTATCTTTTGAGGAGAGTAATAGAAAAGTATAAAGAAAAGAAAAGAGACATTCATATGGTGTTTACCGACCTTGAGAAAGCATATGACAGAGTGCCCCGAGATATAATATGGTGGACGTTAGAGAAGAAATGGGTGACAAAAGGCTACATTGACGTGATTAGAGACATGTATGAAGGGGTGGTGACCACTATTAGATCGCTAGCTGGAGAAACAAATGAATTTCCTATCACTGTAGGGTTACACCAAGGATCTACCTTAAGTCCTTATCTTTTTGCTTTAGTTATGGACGAGTTGACGATAAATATTCAGGATGACGTGCCATGGTGAACTTTCATAATTTTTCATTTCCATCCCAGGTAAACTTGCACTCCTCATGTACTAGTAATTTTTTCCGCGTTTTTCTGGACGAGCGCGGGTAAAGAAGCTAGTCTAAGACTATAGGTTTAGGATAGCCACTTGGAACATAGGAACCTTAACTGATTGAGAGTCGGGAAGAACCTAAGAGTGAACATTTTCGTTATTTAGGGTCGATTATCACAACAGCGGGAGAGATTGATGCAGATGTGGCCTATAGGATTAAGGCAGGATGGTATAAGTGGAGATGTGCGTCTGGGGTATTGTGCGATAAACGAATACCCACTAGACTAAAGGGTAAGTTTTATAGAACGGCTATTAGACCAGCTATGTTGTATGGGACGGAGTGTTGGGCAACCAAGAAACAACATGTGGATAAGATGAGTGCGGCTGAGATGATGATGCTAAGGTGGATGTGTGGTAAGACTAGACAGGACAGGATTAGGAATGAGTGTATTCGGGAATGGGTAGGAGTAGCACCGATAGAAGATAAGTTGAGAGAGAATCGTTTGAGATGGTTTGATCATATTTAACGGAGACCAATAGAGGCAGTAGTAAAGAGATGCGATGCTGTAACGGTAGATAGAAGTGTTAGGGGACAGGGTAGGCCTAGATTAACGTTGACTAGTGTTATAAATAGAGATACGAATTTACTTAATTTGACTAATGAAATGGCTTTTGATAGGGCCGCGTGGAGAAGAAGGATTCATGTAGCCGATCCCATTTGATGGGACTTAAGGCTTGGTTTGGTTTGGTTTGGTTATTTATTTTTTGAGGCTGTTAAGCATTTTCCCACACCTTATTTGTTGCCAGGTAGCCTTTGTACAAAATTAAGGGGTTGTTTGGGATGACCTAAATAAGTATACTTTTTGTCTTTTTACGAAAAAATGTGCAGAAAAGTAAAGAGATGATGTGATGGAAAAAAAGATAAAAAGATAAAAAGTGTGTACTTATCTAGGATACCCAAACTTGGCCTAACTTTGCCACATGCACCCACTGGATTGGTCCTCATAGGAAGAATTGCTTAAATTATCTCAAACTCTTAAACTCCAATTTTATTTTTAAAATATACAATCAAATAAACTAATTTTTTTTTTTAAACTCTCCCCCTAATTTTAAAAAAAAAATATTATCTCAATACACAAACCAAACATACCCTTAAACTTTAAAGGGGCAGTTTTTATCGTGTAGAATGATGACATCGCTATTATTACCGTCGACTGTAGAGGTAAATGAGGAGATTACATGCTATTGAAAAAGGTCATAGTTGTGTGCAATGGCACTACCGTGCCTCTGAAAGTTTGTCAACGATAGTGTTTAATTTTGATTTGTTCTAATATTTGTTTTCTTGTTTGCTTTAGATCTTCGCAATTGATAGATCTACCAATTCAAAGTTTTGATTATGCATAATAAAATGACCAATAAAATCTGGAGAGGATTTAAAAGAAAACAAATTGTATTGAAAGTTTATGGTGTTACCAAGTCCATAAGTTAATTTCACATGAAGATTACGCTACAACAATTAAAGTACGAGATATAAAACTGAGAGAAAAACGGGACAATGATTATGAGAGAAAATTATTTAATAATTTTGAAACATCACATTGATATATTTTAAGTCAATCATTGAATATTTAGTTTTTATGTTATTATCATATTTCCAACATAAATCGTGAACTCTTATCTCTCTCTACTACTTAAAATTTTATGAACTATTACGTGTCTATACTCTAAAAACACTGAATAATCACCTGAGCATGAGCCCTTAAAATTATGATCATAGCATAAATGTGAACTTGATGAAGTTTTTTTTATTTAATCATATTAAGTAAGAGAAAAATATTTACTTTATTAAAAATAAATAAGATATTACATAAGCAACCATCTAAGAGTGTCTCCAATGGTTACTATTTTCTTTCATTAAATTTAAATTTGATAAAAAAAAGTCCAGCTTTGGTGCTCCAACGTTAATATCAAACCAGTATCAAATTGAGGATGTCTTAAACTGTTCATCAAATCGAGGATGCCTAGAGCCTTTCATCAAATTACTCTAGATAGCCATTAACTTTGTAGGTATGCAGGAGTATCGAATGACCGGCTAGTTGTTCGACCAGTTGTCCTTCTGAACATCCACATCCTTGCAATTTACTGTAGAAAGCTTGTTTCAGAATTTGGACAATTTACATTGGCCGGTCGATTAGCCAGAGATCCTTCGATCGTCCTTCTGGTCGACTGGTACTTTAATGAAAATTCAAAATTCTCTATTACAACGTTCAATATCAGATAAAGTTTTTACTTATATTTGATAAAAAAAAAAAAGAGTAAACGTTGGAGATACTATTAAATAAAAGGTCATTATTGAAAGATAACTTTTTATTTTTTATTTTTTTATACATTTTGTTGTAAAAAATTACAATTAATTAAAATAATTACTTTCTGAAACAACTAATAGCAAAAATATACTTAAAATTGTAGATGCCATAAATTTGAGTCCTCGAATTTATCTTATAAATATTTATTATTTTTATTATTAATTTTATAATTAATAGGAGTAATAGTAGAAAAAATAAAGTTATATAAGACAAAATAAGACTTAGGAGTATTCATTGACTACCACACTAATCGATTGACCTTGTTATAATTATTTTTTTTATTATATTTATTTGTGATTTTTCACGATGTTCGACTAACTTAACGTGTATTTCGACTAATTTTCATTCTCGATGAGAGCCTGTCACTGGCAATAAAATGCTGTAGCTACTGGAACTCAAACTGAAGAGCAAATCTAGTCGAACCGCAGAGTTTATCAGCGGTGGACAAACCATTGTGCCACAAGGTTATGATTTGTTTTACAATTAGTTGATACATGTAAAATTCATGAACTTTGTAATTAATTAAGTGTTTAAAAAATAGAAAACACTATATTTAAAATTTAAAATTTAAAATTTTATTTTTTAAACATTGAAAAAAAGAGAAGAAAAATATTTTCCATTTACTACACAATCACACAAATTTCAACTATAAAAAAAAGAAAATAAAAAAACATTTTTAAAATGCCAAATTAAACCTTTGGCAATGCCAAAATGGCAATGAGAAGTACACACATTGTGTTCATTCATGTTCATCACAAATATATATATATAGGGGCAAAAGCCTAGAACATGTTGGTAGCTGATCTTCATTCCGGGTGAAGGTAGAGAGAGAAGCATTGTTCATCATACTCTCTCTTTCTCTCTCTCTGGATTGTTGGAGTTGTGTGTGTGTGTAATATGGGAATCTTCTCAGAGAGCCCTAAATCATTCAAGATGGATAGGAAGTCTCCTCTCGCTGCTGCCCTCAAATCTTCAATCTCCGACAAACTCCTCCAATTCCTCGGCAATTACACCGACGACGTTCTCGCTGTATCTCTCTCGCTCTCTACATGCCGTGAATTTTGATTTCGTTTCCGTCGTACTACTATGATGTAATTTCAAATGTTGATAGATATTTTGCAACTAAAGGGCTTGTTTGGTTGCCGAGAAAACCCTGGACCTATATCAACTCCTTACTATTATCTCCGCTGGAAAGTTGGGGATATTTGTTTGTGCATTTATGTAATTATTTGATTTAGCTGTAGTTTGTTTTGTTCATATTATTGACAATGTAAATGTAGTTGATTATGAAACTAGAATAAGAACTCTAAGTTTGAACTAAATAGTATTGCTTTAAAACCTAATGCTTCATATGGTACTTGGAATTGTTTAGGAAAATGAAAAGGAAAATCATTGAGATCTAAAATTCAAAAATTTTCACAGATAATATTATTTTGTTTCCAAGGCAATTGGTAACAAAACAAGGATAAACGATTTTCTTTGCATTTCCTTTTCCTATCCCTCATCAAATTTGTGAACCAAATGTGGCACATTCTTTGCGGTATGATAGATGAAGTGGAGAGGTGCTTTCAGACTTTGATTGTCTTGTTCTTGGGTTGGTAGGTGGTAATTTTGAAGACAACTTTAGCAGAGGTATTGGTTGTAAAGGCATTCTCAAAGTCAAGCTTTCATATTGTAATGAACATCTAGAGGCTTGGCAAAGAATGAATGCTACCCCATGGTTGGATAAGGATGATGCACCCCAAATTGCTTGTTTTTTAGAGAACTTACCAGGTTTTTAATGACTGGATCCCAAAAGTTGAGTTGCTGAGATGGTATTGCATAATTGTCCTGTTGCCAAATTCAATTAGTTTGAAACTGCGTTCATCAATAGAACTACAAAAGCTAGATGGGATTGTTTTTTTCACCAATTTTCTGTTCATGCCTAGTCTGCTTATGTGGCCTGCGCACACTCGTGCTCTTGCATACCCACACAATTGCAAATACCCTTTTACTTATAAATAATACCGGTTTTTGGGTTTTGATGTGAACACTGTTTGTTTGTCTGTCTGCAAATAATGGTTTGGCATATTTTATTCTTGTAGGAGTATATTATTGTGCTTGTATGTAACGGGAAGCATCAGGTTCAGGCAAGAGATGATCTAGAGGCATTTCTTGGGGAAAGAAGTGGTGAATTTGTTTCTTGGTAATGCTATTGTTGAGCTTTCAATTAGTTTTTCTGATCTTCACTGAGAAGGCAGACTCAACTCTAAACTTATTAAGGTTTATTATGATCATCAGTTAAAATTTGTTTTCTATTTATTGTACCATGTGTGAATTTTTGTTTTGCTTTTTAAGAAGAAATGGAAAAGGGCATCAGTGTTTCACCAATACAATGTGTACAATGCTGAGACCTCAAAATTAATTAAAAAACAAAGAAAAGAAAAGAATAGGGATGCCTGTTTATACCTGAAATGGTCTTGACTCAAACTTGCACGTGTATGTCCACGTCAGTCTGGAACACTAAAGTTTGAGTATCTTTGTTATGTGCCTTATTTTGTTTTTTTAGTTAAAAATTGAAGATTGCTAAGTTCTCTCTCTCATGCTACAAGTGTAGGCTGTGGGATCACCTGTTAAAATTTGCCCATCAATCAAGTTCAGCAATTGGTTCATTAGATCCAAAAGATGTCACTTCTACCAGTCCCAGTAACGATGGTGCAGACAAGGATTTGAGAAGCAATAGGTTGAGGGATGATCAAAATCATGGCAATGGCAATGCTGATAGTTCACTGGTAGTATTAGTATTACCTTTGATTTTTTTGTTTGGATGCATAATGTTGTTTTATTTGCTACTGAAGTTTGTAGAATACTTGCACTTGGCAGACCAAAAATGGGAAGTACTGCCATACATCTTTGCATCCTTCTAGTCCTGATCCCTCCAATAATGTTGAGCATTCTGAAGGTATTCAAGATTGTAATGGTCTTGTTGCCCCCTTGAATTTGGTAAATACCAAGAAGGTACAGTCACAGAAACAGAGAAACGCAGTTCCAAGGGAAGTTGGCCCAATGGAAAATATTCATGATGATTCCTTGACACACATGCCTTCTAGAATAGGAGGCTCTTCTCTGATTTCAACTAGAAGAGAGCAAAGCTCTGAATGTGTGGATAAATCAAAGAAGGTGAGCGAAGTATAAATTTTTTCTCATTTTTCCTGTTACATGTTCCTTGTCTAACTTATACAGTTTTTCATTATTGAGCAGACTTTCAACCATAAAGGAAATGGGCTGCCTAGTCAACCTTTGGATGTTTCTAGAAGAGGAATGGTTTTCAGAAATTTGCAGCCTTCTATTATTGGTATTGTGCTCGTGAAAGCTACCTAGATGTGATTCTGGATGTTTAATTGTTTGTGTGCACATGATCTACACGGCATTTCTATATTTAAGTCTCTTCCTGCTAAACACAGATAACTGCAATGCATTTTGAGTGCACATCAAATATGGGCCAAACTAATTCAGATTGTTGCCCTTTTTTTATGCAGAGGATACTGATACGAAGCAAATTTATGATGCTAATGTTTCTGCAAGAAGTCCTCCAAAGGCAGATGGAGAAATATCCTGCCGAATGAAAAAGTCACGGGGTAGTGTGTGGGACAGATTGGGCAAGCCTTGTAAAGAAAACTGCTTTGTTAATGATAAAGCTGTTGATGCTCATGCTGTTGATATTGTAGAGAAAGATCAAGAAATGTATGACCAGCATACATTATTGGTCCCTGTTCGCAATGAAGAACTTTGTGAAAGTATAAAAAATGAAGTTAATGAGCTTGATAATAGTGGTAGTGGAAACAATCCCGGTGAATGTAGGAAAATGGAGCAGGGTGAGAGCATGATATGCAAGCTTCATGCTGCAAATGATATTAGGCGAAAGAGACATTTTGGCGAGATTAGTTCTGGCCCTAATTCCTGTTTAGTTTCTTTGGTGGGTGGAAGTAACATGGATCACCACCAGTACAAAGAAAGTTCACAGGATTTTAAAAGATCGAACTCAACCTCGGAGGCTGCTGCTCCAGCTCTGGTTTCAGTATGTTTTCTATTTGCTGTTAAATTCGCTTATGTTAGACATAAATACAGCTTAGATGTGAATTTTACACTTACCTGATCTATGAGAAATTAAATTGTCACAAACACCCCCTCTCTCCCCCAAAAATCTGTTGTCTTTTTAGTCAGTGTATGTAGTTTTACTTCAACATTGTAGAGGTTTTTAATTGGTAATCATGTTAACATGTTTTAGCTGTATTATTATGCAGCAAGTACAAGACGTGAAACAAAGATTGCACCAAATTGAAATGGAAATGTCTAAGCTTCGAACCAAGCAACAAGTGATGAAACAACCCCATGAATTGACAAACTCTGGTAAGGAAGTTTCCATGGTTTTGAACAGTTTTCTGAATAATTATAAGGAGCCCTTTTTCTCCCCATTATGAGACGTGTATCTGGCTTTGAAGTTTGCTAATTGCCTTCAGGTTCAGGGTTTAGATTACTTGTGAGCGCTTTTGTGGACACTGTGCATAGGTTATGTTTTGTGTCTTACCTATTGGTTGGCGAAGAGGATCACATATTATGAAGTGTATGGAACACTACCAAAATATTGATGTAGTAGCCTTGCTAGTTCAATAAATTTCTTAAGGAGATGGAATACATTAGAATGTCTCTTCCACTGTCATTATTAACCCTTATTGTTTGTCAGCATGTTATGAAGCATAGGAGTCCATGAGATTCTACATGCAACAGTAGGCCCAGATAACAATTTATCCAAAAAAAAAAAGACAGTAGGCTTAGATAACTCCCTCAAAGACCCCCACCATGCCTGTCCTTGTTTGTGTGTGTTTTCCGAAAAATGAAAAACCCACAGAAATGATGCCTTTTGGCATTTATGTGTGTGGAATGCTCTATTCCAAATTTGATACCTGAGAAACACATTTGAATGTGTCTTCTGTTAACTTACATTATTATTTACTGGAGCATCCAAGCATGTCATAATTTTTTTGTTCTTCACAGGTGAGATATACAGATTCTTCTCTTAGGTTGTTAGTCTTAAAGACTTATTGCAGGCCTGGGCCAGGGTGGTTTGCAATTCTTTAATTTGGTCTGCATGAAAATTGCTGTACATGTTGATGCCAGCCTAAATAGTTGATGGTGATGATCTTTATTTGATGTATTGTCTTTAAAAGCTCATTGTTGAGCAGGAAATATGTTCACTTTGTGCTTTTGCAGGTGTACTCAAGCATTCAGAGGAAGATGTGGAGTCAAGAACTGTATTTGTCACTAATGTAACCTCATTAAACATTTATCCTGTGTATTCTTACCATCCATGATTACTATTGCTTTGTTATTACCATCCTATGAACTGTGTTGGTCATGAAAAATTCTTTTATAGGTTTGTGTAGTTTACTTATGCTAGTGGGGTTATTTTGTGGGTTGCATAGATGACGAGTATAATTCAAGCTCAGTGTAGCCTTTTTTTGACCAACGTGTTTTTGAGCTTGAGCAATAATTTGGAAAATATAAGTTCAACTCTGACCTTTCAGGAATTATGACTAAATCTTTCACATATGAGGCCAGGATTTCTTAATGTAAAGATCTTAACTGTAATTCCTTTTTACTTGGTAGACCTTTACTTAAAATTTGTTATGATATTGGACAGGAAATCAAATGTGTGGGATTCAGTGGAAATTTTGCTAAAATTTAATTTGGTGATACTGAAAATTTAGGGTGTAGGGGTAGACTGGATATTGACCTAACCTTGGACATAATAGTTAGTACTTGGCTGGTTAATTTGGGGTTCTGGGAATGGTTGACTGGATACATTCCTTAACCTTTGAAATAATTGCACAAAGTGGCTACTTTTAGACTCAAACTCGCATTCTCACGCTTCGCAGTCCAAGCATTTTCTGTTACACCCTGAGAAGCACAAACACTTCAAAGAAGGTAACGTGTTCCTGTTGGACACCAACACTCATTGGACACTTCCCGACACTTGTCGAATACATGTTCAAATGTCTCCTATTATTTTTTTAATCTTATAGACCTAGACACGTTTCAAACACTTGAGTGATACACGTGTCATCGCTTAGACACACATGACAAGTTTTTAGAAAACTTGTGATCCAATAGTAAAAGAAAAATAATGTGGGTTTACACCCATAAATTCTCCTCCTTTTACTTTAAGAATTAGTGTTATGTTGCATTTTTAATATTTTTTTTTAAATATGGTGTATAATAGTTATTTATCCTTAAGTAGATATGATTTATAATAAATATATGGAACTATATATTGTGCGTGTGTTCTCCCGTGTCATGTCCTATACTTTTTTGAAAATTTCTGTGTCAATGTGTCTATTTCGTGTCATGTGTCCATGTTTGTTACACCAAACAGTGCCCCCAATATATATATTGATCAATGAATTATACTATCAATATAATTGTTATTGTCGTTCATCACCAATTCCTAAAGTGGACTTCTGATCAGCTCCGCTATAATATAATCAATCTTGTATCATACATACAATCAATCAATAATATACATCACTTTATTTTACAATCACCAATTCCTAAAGTGGACTTCTGATCAGCTCCGCTATAATATATATATCCAATTGCTTCTATCAATCATGCTCTTCTAGCTTAAGTTTGTACTAGCAGATGTTTTAAAAGAATGACACACTTGATTACTGAAATATCAGGTACATTTTGCTGCAACTAAGGAAGCTTTATCATTGCATTTTGCCAAGTGTGGAGTGGTTCTCAGTGTTGCGATTTTGACTGATACATTGAATGGCCAACCAAAAGGGTAAACATATTTTTATAGTTATTCTGTTATAGCTATAAAAGCATATGTTTATGTAATAAGTTGAGTCTGTACCAGTTTAGCAATGTAATTTAGTGTTCGTTTTCTAGGTCTGCTTACATTACTTTTGCCAACAAGGAGTCTGTTGATAAAGCAGTGGCATTGAGTGGGACCTCATTGTTTTCAAGGACTCTGAAGGTTTGTATAGTAACTTATGTGGACTCTCTCTCTCTCTCTCTCTCTCTCCTTCTTCTTCTTCTTCTTCTTCTCTTTGAGGTGGGGGTTGTGGTTGTGATTGTTTTCATTGCATGTGCTACATGTCTGGTGCCTGGTGGTAGACATTTCCTTGCCTGAAAACCCTGTTCAACTAGATGAAGGCATGATTTCATTCCCAAGTCTCCTCCGGTGACTCCTAAGAGATTTTACCAACTCAGCCTGCTGGCATTAACGACGTTCCGTAGTCCATTTTGTACATATACAAGAAAAGTGTCTGTAACATGATAGTAGTGATATTATGTTGATAATTTGAACTAATAATATGTACTCAACTCACAATGCCTTGTCCAGTTGGATTTGTACTGGATTATCTGGATTTATACAAGGCATCAAAACCGCCCTTTTATTTTTTTACAGTGGTGATACATACCACTAAAAAGAGAGCACTAAGCCAGTTCTAATGAGCTGGCAGTGCTGGAAAAAAAAAATAAACAAAAAAACACAAAGAGCAAAACGTCAAATCAATTGGAGCTACAGTGTATTTAGAGCTATTAGAGCTCATTGTTTTAGAGCTCTTAAACAATTTTCATTTTTTTATGGTTCTATACGGTTGGTGTTACGTCTTAAGTAGACTATTGGCCCAACAACTTGATTAGAATGGTCTACCAATAGGGTTTGGCCTCAAGCTTTCGGGCCTATTGATAGACCATAACATTTAAGTTGGGCCAGTAGGCTACTTGGGAAGTAACACCAACCATGTAGAAACATAAATAAATGAAAGGTGCAAGTAAAAAAGCCCTTTTCCTTAAGCTTTCTTATCCACTCTGTCTACCCACCAACCATGTAGAAACATAAATAAATGAGAGTGTGCGCCCATGTGTTTGAAGGGCCCTGTCTTGGATGAGTATTAATAAATAGTCATGACGATCATACAAGGATGTGTATCTCTTATGGGAGGCTAAGTTGATACATTAAAGTCAATCTAATTTGGATATTTTGATCGTTCCATTCCACTATATTCCAATGAACCAAACACTACCTTGTTTTTAACATTTCAATCTGTTATTATTGTTATGTTGTTGAAAAGTACAGTTTTGGCCCAGGTTTTAAGGAAGGCAGAAGAGGCTACCATGACCACAACACCTCAGCGTGCTGGGAAGCCTGCACAAGCACAATTTTCTAGGATCAACAGAAAAACACCCTTCGACAGACCCTTTCATCCCAACTCTCGTCTTCAGTGGCGGCGTGAGCCCACTTCTGCTCCATCTGAACCATCAGCTTCAATCACTCAAAAGAAAGGAGTTAGCTCTGCTGCTTCACGTGCATCGGTGAGTACCACTAAAACCGCTACTTCGTCTACAGGGACACCGGCAGCTGCCTAATTTCTCAGGCAATTATGAAGGAAATCTGGTGACTACTGAAATCTCTTTTGCCGATACCACTATGTAAATGAGAGTTTATTAGGGAATCAGTTTGATCTTGAAGATTGAAATTCAAAATTTAGACAAATTACTCTGTTCAAGTCTTTTGTTACATTACACGCTTATGTTTCCTTGTAAAGACTGAGACCTTTCGGACTTTACATTTGGACTTTGAATATTTGTAAAGACGAATCTTGAATATTTGTGAAGGTGAATCTTTGAGTGATCGTACTGAGTTCAGCAGTAGGTAGTAAATAGTAACATATTTACTGATTGAATTGTTTGTCGAGTTGAATAGTGGTTTGTTTGGACATGGAAAATTATGCTAAAACAAAAATTAAAGAGAAACATGGGGATTGTCCCACTGCATTCATCTTTCTGCACATGGGTTTAATGACATTTCCAATTAATCTGCTTTAAAGCAATATTAGTGATTCTTCTTTTATTTTTTGGTTTTGTTTTGTGGGTCTGGATAATGGTGATTGGTAGAGACACATGGTTGAAGGATTGAAAGATGAACTCAAAAAACTTTTTTGTGGTTAAATTAAAATTGATTTTTTGATTTTTGTGAGTCTAGTTCTTGGATTAGTCAGTGCAGTAGGCCGGATATCTAGTTATCAAAAATAAAATTTTTATTTCATTTGATTTTGATTTGTTAATCTTTTGAGTTGATTTTAAACAAATTTTAATCAAATTAAAAGCGAGTAGTTTGATTTTTGTTGTGCATGTAATTTGGCAAGTTGAACTCAAAAAATTAATGAATTATAAAATGCGTTCAAATTTGACTTGTTTACGTAATGGAATCAATCACAAACATGATTATAACGAGTTGAATATAAATTGAATTCGAATAATTTGGCTCATTTAACAATTTTAATCACAACTAGTTTTATTAAATAAAAAAGAATTAAAAGGCGAACAACACTCGAATACAAAAAATCTATAAAAAAGTCATCTTTCAACCACCACTCCCTATCCTCATAAAAGGGGGCTTTTTCCAAAGTCAAAATACCGAGGTATTTCCCAAACTAGGCTTAGTTCGGACGGAATTCTCAAAATAAGTTAAAACGTGGTTACAAACTACGCTTTTACCTTTTTTGTGGTCCTCCTGTGGAAAATTTGTAAAATTATAAAAGCGTGGTTATAAACCACGCTTTTAATTAAGAAAGCGTGGTTTCTAAATTTTTTTTTTCTTCAGAAAACGTGATTAAGAACCGCACTTTTAATTAAAATGTAAAAACGTGTTTTGAAAACACGTTTTCAATAGAACACAAAACGTTGCACTCACTCTTCATTCTCACTCACTCTCTCTCTCTCTCTCTCTCTCTCTCTCTCTCTCTCTCTCTCTCTCTCTCTCTCTCTCTCTGACACACACACATACACACACCCACCCACCACACTCACATCTTTTTAATATATATAAATTTAAATTATTTTTTATTTTTTATTTCTTAATCAAATTAATTTTTAATTTTTTAAAAAAATTCTAAAAATCAAACCATACATAGCCTAAATTTTTTTTGATAAGTCATTTCTTACGTTAGTAACTTATTTAATTATTTGTTAATTTTACGACATTTTTACCATTTGAGGCATGTTTGGTAACCATTTAGTTTTCAGTTTTCAATTTATATTTACAAAAATTTAAAAAACTATCATAAAAACTTGTTTGATAATTTTTTTGGTTTATAAATGGTTGTCTTAATTTGTAAATTTGAGGAAAAAAAGTAAATTCAAAAAATGAGTTTACGTTGGTTTTTAAACAAAAATTTATTTTTTTTCAATTAATTTTTTTTCAAATAAATTCAAAAAATGAGTTTACGTTAGTTTGTAAATAAATGAGTTTATAACCACGCTTTTACGATTTTACAAATTTTTCACGGGAGGACCACAAAAACGGTAAAAGCGTGATTTGTAACCACGTTTTAGCCTGTTTTGAGAATTCCGTCCAAACTAAGCCTAGTTTGAGAAATAACTTAGTATTTTGACTTATTTTGGGAAAAGGCCCTCATAAAAGGCCTAAATGTTCTATATCAAATGTCATAATTCGGCAAATGTAGCTCCAATATTGTGTAATATTCACAAAAAAGTCAAATATAAGTATTTCCATCAAGAGAGAGAGAGATAATATTTCTAACTAAATTTTGGCATGACAGATAGCACGATATTGGAAATGAGTTTGAAATAATTGCTGCCAAATTATAGCTTCAACAAGAAAAAGAGTAAACCATTGAAGCTGATTTAAGCATCCATTTCAATTGGCCAAAGTTACATATATAGCAATAGGAGTTTAAAAAATGTGGCTCATTTGGTTCCCGATTTAATTTGAAAAATTACACTGGGATATCATTATTTCAAATCAAAAGTATGACTTTTTTATTTTTATTTATTTATTTTTTATATAAAAATATTCCACATCACATATGTTATTGGTCTAATTTATTAAATAATCTCTCTATATTTAACGACATCCATCTTCTTATAGTTTATTGTTGAAACAGAGTCACTCAAAAATCTTTCTTATTAAAGAAGTCAAAGGTAAAACAACAAACTACCCGCCAATTATGGGCCTCCCTCCAGATTTGAAGGGAAGAGAGATAGAAAGAGAGATTTTCAAGGAATCTCTATTTTGAATTAATCATAGTAGCTAATTTAGAGGGAATGGGAGGAAAATGATTGAGGCTTTGCTTCTTGTTGTCAAAGGAAAAGTAAAATAGGTAAAAGAGAAAATAAAAACTAACAAGAAAGAAGTTGAGATGCTTCTTGTCTCTCTTGGGAGATAGATAGATAGTTTGCAAAGGAAGAAAAATAGAAAATCTAATCTTTTGGTTTAGTAAAATTCCGGAGGCTGAGAAACATTCAAAAGCCTCTTGAAGAACTTCTAGAGATATATATTGTGTGTTTGGTTTTTGTATTTGGTTTCTGTAATCATAGCAGAACCAAGAAAAAAAAAACCAAACATAAGCATTCTGACTTGTTGGAAGTGGAAGGACATATATTGAGACTGAAATTTTGATTTAAATTTTTTATGTGGTGTTTGTTTGGAAAGAAAGAAAGATGTGGATTCCTAGAAATGGAGAAAGGAATGAGGTGATAAATAGGTTGGTAGCAGTGGCTATAGACAAGGATAAAGGGAGCCAAGGTGCTTTGAGATGGGCTATAGATAATCTCCTCAACAGGGGCCAAAGTGTTGTTTTGGTACATGTTAAGACTAAACCATCTGGCTCTTTTCATTCTTCCCCATCTCTTTATGCTCCAAGTAATTCTCTATCTCTTTCTTTTTTCTGTTTATTATTAAAACATCAAACATTATATTTTTGAAAAATTTTATTCATACAAAAATACAGTTTAAGTATATATATATATATATATTTTGCAAGTTGAAATTACGAACATAACTAGTGCTAGTGATGATATTAGAAAAATTTCTCTCCAATGAGCATTAACTTCAATTTCAAACACTACTTAGAAATGAATTTGCAGCATTAATAATCTCTCATTCATTTTGTCACATATATATGAAAGACATTTTTGCAGCCACATTTTCTAATCCTATCATACAATATGATTGTTAATAATAACTTAGTTACTTGTATTATTACTATTTTTTTCTTCTGTGTGTAGGGTTTAGCCATACTTCCGATGGTATTGATGAAAATGTAACATCATTTACCGATTCTGGTTCACAAGCTAAGGAATTTTTTCTTCCCTTTCGTTGTTTTTGTACACGTAAAGATGTACGTACCTTTTAGACCTCTAATCCAATCTCTTTCCATATATTCTTCTTTGCTTAACCTCAAAATTGTGTACAAGAAGTTATCACAACTTTGTGAGAGTGTAACATTGCATGACATCTCAACCAGTATCATGTATGACAATATTGCACACAACACTAATATAATTTGATGTATGAGGGAGGGGTGTTGCACTTACAACACTCCCAAGAATAGGAAAGCCCATGGAAACATAGTCGGACCACAAAATAATTACATTATACATGGAAACTTTTTTAGTGTACAAAAAAAACTTGCATTTCATTAAAAAATAAAAATAAGTACAAAAATGTACGACTGATTTGTAATTTAATACTGTATTTGGTTGGAAACTTTGTAGAGAAATTTGGAAAGGAAAGAAAAAGCTAGGTAAAATATGAATAAAATATACCTATATTTTACCTAATTTCACCCACTTTTTCTATTTCTCTTTTCTAATTCCCCTCCAAATTTCCCAACCAAACAGAACACAGGAGGTCTTGAAGAAGTACAATAGGATTCATCAATTTTGTCTCTCTCTCATCAACCATCCATGCATCAACTTTGTATTGTTCAGTGTCTTATAACCTTTGCAAATATGATATGAATCAGATACAATGCCAAGACGTTGTGCTGGAAGATACAGATGTTGTCAACGCATTAGTCGAATTCGTTACTCATTCAGCAATAGAGATTTTGGTTCTCGGTGCCCCCTCAAAAGGTGGAATTCTTAGGTGGGTATATACATCCATATTCTCTCTCTCTCTCTCTCTCTCTCTCTCTCTCTCTCTCTCTGCTTTTGATGTTTCATTCCAATGAAAAATCAAAGAATCCAAAAACAACCCAGTACTCATTTGGCAACTGAAAAGTACCTGAATTACATTTATTTTTAAACCCAATTCTTGGATACATTTATTTTTATGTGCTTTTGTGTTTCTGTTGAATTGTTTGTAGTTTGTGGTGAACCCATTTTATGATATGCTATTGCCTTCTAAATATATATATATATATATTTTGTGCTTTCATGTTTATGTTCGTTTCTGTTGAATTCTTTGTAGTTTGTGTGTGGTGAAGCCATTCTATAAGGGGGCCTTGGGAAGCAAATTTCTAATTTTGGTAGCTAAGGTGTTTGTCGTAATGCTTCTTAGACAGGTTTATGATTGTAGGAGGTTTTATGTTGTGCTATATTCCCTTGTAATATTAAATACAAAGTTTACATTTTTTTTTTTGGCTGGAAAAATAATTCCAAATGTAAGTGATACAAGTAGGGGGATGCATTCAAACTTCACATGACCAAAACCCAATTCTTGGATTACCCCCTTTATGGTCATGATCATCCCCAGTGAACTCCTATGTACTTGCATCATTTGTCATCCCTGTGGGCATGTGGCTGTGGCAGTTCCAAAAAATCTAAAATTTATACTGTGTGCACAATACAGACACTTCCCACTCAGGTCCACACTTGGTAACTGGTACAGAAAAAAGCAAGATAGCTATGTTCTGGCCTTGTCAAAATAGTTCCATGTTTTTGCTAGAATGCTGCTATGTGGAATTAGATCATATATCCATTTATAAATGAATTCAAAAATGGATTGGAAATCCTAAGTTGGGCATTGTTCTTGAGCAGGAGATTCAAAGCAACAGACATTCCAGGCAGTGTTTCAAAACAAGTGCCTGATTTTTGTACGGTATATGTAATCTCCAAAGGAAAGATCTCATCCACACGATCTGCATCTCGTCCGGCGCCGGCTGCATCCACACTCCGTAACCAAATTTCACATCAAGCCAGCAATGACAAATCTGATCAACAATCTGAGAAATCATTGATACCCGCAACTACTAGTCTGAAAGGTTGGTTATTAGCTATTCTATTAACCCTACATCATCATCCACGCATTTCTCTGACTTACATATATATATATATATATATGCATTTACATTGGCTACCAATGCCTCATTTTGAAATATAATTACTAAGTACAAATCTTCTTATCAGGAGCTCCAAGGCTTCTATCTGAGCCATCACATAAATCAGAATATGACCTGGACTACATCAAGTAAGTCAAACTATATTCAATGATCAAAAGGACAAAATCAATAAATTAAACATCGAGCTACTATAAGTAGTCCTCTATTCATAAATGAACAAAGAAGAAAGTTCTTGTGCATCTCTCAGTAATAATGCCTTTCTATATTTTAACTGAAAGAACACCTCCCCCCCCCCCCCCCCCCCCCCCCCCCCCCTCTCCCCACCTCTCTCTCTCTCTCTCATGTGTGTGTGTCATAGTTGAAAGGAAGTAGGGACTGACTTGAAAGCCATTGACATGTATAAACAGGTCACCATTCACTCACAGGAAAGGGCTAAATGGCAAACCTCATGGAGATTACTCATCACCGGATACAGACATATCCTATGTGAGCTCCGGGAGAGCAAGTATCGACCGCATATTTCCTTCACTCTATGATAGCTTTGAAACGAGCCGGTCCCCACGGCTGTCGAGCTGCTCAGAATTAGAGAACGTGCATCATAGTTTTGAGTCAATGAACCTAACTGGACACAAATCAGTTGATACAACTACACCTGAATTCTCTCTGGTCTCCCAAGACAGTGATAAATCATCTTCATCACAGACAATGGTGAGGGCGTGAAGTCATTTGAAATGGACAAGTCTATTCCTATCCTATCACACCCATTATTGTTAAAGCATCCACTAGCACATAAATCTAAATCAAGTTTACTTCTAATTCATTATAAAGTTGCATTGCATGAGACATTCAAGTAAAATATGCTGGAACCAATGGAAAATTTGTACTGTTTACCCAATGATTTGTTAATCTAGAAAAGAGAGCATGAGAGTTGGGGTTGAATTTTGTTGTTAACAAATGTGCAATCATATACTGTTAATTTAATTTATTATATGATTGCACATTTGTTAACAACAACATTATTTTTTTATAGTTTGTGTTTGCCAAATCTTTCAATTTTCAATTCGATTCACGATTCTCAAAATTAATTAGGATTTCAAATTCATGATACCATTTTGATTTGACAGCTACTATTTTTAATTGAGACATAGCAAATAGTTGTCTCACATTTTCAACAAATGTCAATCTTCATGGCGAAAAAGTGCATATTTTGCAATGGTACGCTAGCAAAAAGTATACTAATTCCAATAGAAACACCCATACCACAACTTTTCTCAAGTGTCTTTTCTTTTTTTGATCAGCAAAGAAAAATTTCATCAAAAGTATGAAATTAAAGGTACAGGAAGATGACATGCATCGAGAGAGATTCGGAAAGTACATAATACCCCTACTATTGCTACTCGCATTCATACAACGAACTCCTTGGCCTCACAGTGGTTTTTTTTTTTTTTAAAACAAAAAAGTTAAGAAGAACTTAACTAGAAAATAAAATACAACACTCCCCACAAAATCAACCCACACACCCAAACCCAAAAAACCAACACCAAAACACCCAAGCTTAACAAACTAGCTCCCAATGCTGCTGCACTCCCAATCCACCTGAGCTGCCAAGACCACCATCAGCCCCTTCTTCCACTCTGCTGATTACCCCTTGCTGGCTCACCTCCCTGGTACACCATCCTCCTTGCCTCTGTAACCATCTTTTGACTCCAAGCTAGCAACCTATTTGAAGGCCAACTTCTCTGCAAGCCCCTGAACAATAAACTCACACACCCCTGATAGGACACCCACCACCATTTCCATGGTCAGAACACCTCCTTATAGAACACCCAACTCCACTCCACGTCCGATTCGAACCTCCGAACACTCACAGCAACCAAACACACCTGTTGACGAACAAAACTCGCTGCCACTGCGGAACAAAACCCACTGCCAACTCCAGCTCCATGGTCGGACACCTCTGTTCCGATCCAAACTCCGAACACACCCGCTGCAGAAGCTCCAAAGTTAACACCCAAAACAACGACCAAACTGCCAAGGCACCGCCATACATCTGAAAGAAGTTCACCCCTCAAATACCCACTCGAAAAGGAGCGCTCGAATGAAATCTTAGATCTGGATCGAAAATCTGGATCTAGATCTCTGAACTCTTAGATCTAAGATCTGGACCGAAACATCACCAAAGATCCGAACCAAAGATTCGTCCCTCAACCTCCCACTCGCACAGGAACGCCTGAATGAACCTCCTAGCCAGATTAGAACAACCGCTAATCCAGACCAAAACCGACCACCATCTACTCTGTTTTGACCCCTAAACCAAGCACCCCCTTGTGAAACAAAACAAAACAACCCCAATGGGAGCTGGACCGGCAGCACTGAAACACACCTAAGTGGGAAAATAATGTGGGAATCAAGTTATTATAAGGAAAAACCAAAGAGGGAGCTGGACCAGCTGACCGCCATAGCCAAAAGCGGCGGCCGGCCAAAAGTGAGGCCCAGGGGTGGAGGTTTTTAGAGAGAGAGAGAGGGAGGATGAAAGACTTGTGGTAAAACTTTTCACTAGAGAGAGCTTCTCAAGTATCTTTTCCACACATACATAATCTAAAAAATTAAAACTAGGGCTTCCCGTGCATTCATATACAACGGTCAGAAAGCTGAAATGCTATGAATATTCACCTATTTCTGAAACTTTTGAGTGTTACTCTTCTTGCTGAGACAGAATTTCCCACACTCATCTCCACTTATTTTGATGTCAAGAAAATTGACAATACATGCCTCTCTTTAATGTTAACGCGTGTATAAACATAGATGCAAAATAGAGATGGAAATGACAAACTGCGATGCATGCTTATGCATGTATTAAATTTACTGCAGGACGACGTTGAAGCTGAAATGAGGCGGCTGAAGCTGGAGCTCAAGCAAACAATGGACATGTACAGTACAGCTTGCAAAGAAGCTCTAACAGCAAAACAAAAGGTGTGAGAAATTGCATTTGTTTTGTATTGGGTTGTGACTTTATGATTGATTTACAGCGAGCAAGCTCTAATTTTAATTTAATGATCTTCAATATATATTGTAGGCAAAAGAGCTCCAGCGCTGGAAAATGGAAGAAGAACAGAGATTAGAAGAGGCAAGACTAGCAGAGGAAGCTGCATTGTCAATACTAGAAAAGGAAAAAGCAAAGTCGAGGGCAGCCATTGAAGCTGCTGAAGCAGCTCAGAGGATTGCAGAACTGGAATCACAAAAGAGAATTAATGCAGAAATGAAAGCAAACAAAGAGGCAGAAGAGAAGAATAGGGTGCTAAGAAAACTGGCTGTATCAGATGTCAGATACAGGAAGTACACAATTGATGAGATAGAAGCTGCAACGAATTTCTTTTCAGAGTCACGTAAAATTGGAGAGGGGGGTTATGGGCCAGTGTACAAGTGTTATCTTGACCACACACATGTTGCAGTTAAGGTTCTCCGTCCAGATGCAGCTCAAGGAAGGTCACAATTTCAGCAAGAGGTATGTATGTGCATATGCAATGCATGTCACCAATGCTCTTAATTAGGGCACTCATTAACATGACCCTTATAATCATGGTGGTTAGAATCTTACGATTCAAGATTTGATTTGATTCGAATAGTTGAATCTTATGATTCAATTGAGATTCACTGTGGTTCATTCCGATTTACTACGAGTCGTTACGATTTATTGCAATTTAGTTTTGTTCGCATAATGCAAGAAGCGATGTCATTTTTGCAAAATAGAAAAAAGGATCAATTAATTATATTGATATACATGGTTTATATGTATATACATATATATAATTTAGTTATATTGATATTTATTTCATTTTAAATACCATGTTTTTTTCTTTTTTTCTTTTTCTTCCTTATATGCATATAAATATATAGAATTATAGATTATGCTAAATAAAGTAAGGGGAACTATATGCAGGTGGGGGTTGAGAAAAAAATTTACAAACACATGAGGTGCAAGTGTGTCTGTGATGGGATGTAAATGAAAAGTTATGGGGGTGCAACCTCTCCATGTGTTGGTAATTTTTTTCTCCAACTCCCACCTACAAGTAGTTCCCCCAATAAAGTAATCTTATGATTCACGATTTAAAATGATTCACTATTTTAGCTAAATGATTTACAATTTGATGACAATGCTTATTAATGATCAGTCACTTACAATTCACAGGTTGAAGTACTGAGCTGTATAAGGCATCCTAACATGGTTCTCCTGCTGGGAGCATGCCCGGAATATGGGTGCCTAGTCTACGAGTACATGTCTCATGGGAGCTTAGAAGACTGTCTCTTCCGGCGAGCAAACAGTACTACTCCCCCTCTCTCTTGGCAGCAAAGATTCCGAATTGCAGCTGAAATCGGGACTGGCCTACATTTCCTCCACCAGACCAAGCCCGAGCCACTGGTGCATCGTGACCTAAAACCTGGCAATATCTTACTTGACCGCAACTTCGTGAGCAAGATTAGTGATGTTGGCTTGGCTAGGCTTGTCCCTCCAGCTGTGGCAGACAATGTTACTCAGTATCGAATGACATCAACAGCCGGAACGTTTTGCTACATAGATCCCGAGTATCAACAAACAGGGATGCTCGGAGTAAAATCTGACATATACTCTCTGGGGATCATGTTTCTACAGTTAATAACAGCCAGGCCACCAATGGGATTGACTCACCACGTTGAAAGGTCTATTGAAAAGGGAACTTTTGCTCAGATGCTTGATCCAGCAGTCCCTGATTGGCCTGTTCAAGAAGCCTTGTTATTTGCCAAGATGTCTCTCAAGTGTGCAGAGCTGAGACGGAGAGACAGACCAGATCTTGCCAAGGTTGTTATGCCACTGCTTGAAAAATTGAGAGGAATTGCTGATGAGAGTGTTGTGTTCAATGCCAGTACTATACACTCACCCAACCACAGCCAAGTTTCTATGTCTCATGTAAGTAGCTATAGTTGATCAGAGATTACATCACATGATTACATCACACCATATCACATCACATCACATCACATCACATGAGCAGCTCAAACCTCGAACTCGTATGCTATGTTACATTTACTGCCATGCCAAATTTCATAGGATTAGGGGGCATATATAAGAAATTCACATGAAAATACAACCAAGTCATTCCATTCTGTTGTGCATAGCATTTGTTGGTGTCATAAAATATAAGGGAAACCCTAGGAAAATATTCAACCAGGTCCAGAATATCGTGAATAATGTTATTTATTGAATTGATCGATACTGCACATACATAGGAAGTAAATCGTTTAAAAACTTCTTGAAATTAAAAGCAAAGTTGAACTCTTTTGGGTTAAGTACACTAATTGTCTCTAAAGTATACATTTTGTAACACTTTAGTCCCCAAACTTTTAATTGTTCCACTTTGGTCCCAAAAGTTTGCAATCTATTACACTTTAATCCCTGCATTAAGTGCTGTTCAAAATCAATAACAAAAGGAAGGGTATTGAAATTTTACAAAAACCTCAACAAAATCAAAAAGATCAAATATACACATGGTTGTATGCATTTTGTAACATTTTGATTCCTAAAATATATATTTTGTTTAATTTTAGTCTTTAAAGCATGCATTTTCTTACATTTTTTTGTCCCTAAGCTATTAATTTTGTTGTATTTTTTTTTTGTGCGTAAAATTATGAAAATATCCCTCCTCTCATCATTAATTTTGAACGATGTTGATGCTAGTGACTAAAGTGAAACAGATTGCAAACTTTGGGGACCAAAGTGGAACAATTAGAAGATTGGGGACTAAAGTGTGACATAACACATACTCTTTTTTTTAGAGGGTTAACATATCATATACTTTGAGGACCATTTATGTAATTAACCCAACTCTTTTCAATGGTTACGAAAGAAAGACATAGTGAAACGATTTCATTTCTTGGGGATGACCAAGAAGATCCAATGGTGCATATATAGCATTTCAATATATTATCAGAATTATGCTTTACTTGTTCAACCTAACAAATTATCACAGAATTTTATTTATTTATTATTACTTTTTTTTTTGGGGGTGAAGGATGGATTGAGTTACCCGGCAACACCTGTGCAATCGGGATAAGATAGTAGTTCCAGAAGCCCCTTGAGAAAGTACTCTAGAAAAGGGGGGGAAAAAAAATTAAAACATTTAAGCAGCGAAAAAGAAAAAAAGAAAAAGTTCAACTAATGTTTGTGCAAAGCTTCTTCCCTCCTAGCCTCTGTACACAACTAAGAAAAGGTGAAAAGGATTTCTCAGGTTACATCCTTTTTTCTTTTCCGTTCCTTTCTTTTCTTGTCTTTTGTTTTGTTTATTAGTTAGCTGCCCTACTCGAAGAACCAAATTTCATATGGCATGACTGCAGACAAATAAGACTGAGCATGTTTAGAGAGGTTGTTAACAAAGAAAAACATATCTGTACATTTGTTTCCAGGAAACAATTTTGGGTTTTGTAAGCAAACAGCACCAAGAGCCATTGAAGCTTAGGTGGCTAGCTATGACTTGATGTTTATTATTCCGTGTAAAGAAATTGATTTCTGTATAATTTACAGTATAGTTATATGTAAGGTTTATTCTTATTTTTCAACATGGTCTTCTTCTCTTTCTTTTTGTTTTCTTTCTTTATACACACCGAGCCAAGTCTCCTCATAGTATGGGTTGTGTTGAGGAATTTCTTGTTTGAGTCGTCTCTTTTTATAGACACCGACACAAATATAGGACACCGTGAATTTAAAAAATTTGGGATACAAGCACGGTAGGGATACAATAAAAACCTTTATAGGTATTTTATATTTGCGATGTATATGAATATTACATCCACAAATAACTAAATATAGTGAGAGAAAAAAAAAACTAATTCAATACGAAAAAACTAGGGAAAATTACACATAAGCGGAAATTGGACAAAATATTTACAAATTAATGAAAAAATTTATAAATTTAATTATTAATGTTAATGAAGTTTTCCGTTAATTTGATTTTTTTTTGCAAAACTACATTGATGTGTAGTTTTTTCAAAAAACTAGTTTGCCTTCACAATAATGATATGTTTACATTGTAGTGATTAGCATGGAGTATATGCTTGCATTGTAGTGATTTTGGGTTTTCGATGAATTGTTTTATAACTCAGGATAAAATGAACCTGTCTTGGGATGTATTTAAAGGTAGGATACACATTATGTTTGATAAATAAAAATAATAATTTAAAAATAAGGCACGACACATAAGTATTAGACAAGGATGTAACAACAAAGTCTAGCTTTTGGGCCTTCTCTAGCAAATCATTATCTATTCTAATCTAATAATGTCTGCTCCACTAATTCTATAATTTGACTTAAACATATAATAAAACAATTGAAGAAATTAAGTTTTGAGAGAGAGTGAGAAAATTAAAGGAAGAAAACAAATATATAAGTTGTCATTTGGAATCGTTTAAAATTTATTATTATTTTTTGTTTATAGATAATATTAAATAAGTTTATATTTATTTTTAGTAAAATCAAAAAATGAAAATTATGGTTGGTATATACCTTAAAATTTAAAATCAAGTGAGGGAGTGGTAGGACAAAGTTGTTGAGAAGAGGTGCAGATGGAGGGAAATATCAAACAATTTTTACTCTTAATTTTAAATTTTTTGCAAATATATATATATATATATATATTTTAAAAAAAGACCTAAAATTATTATTGGGATTGAATTGAGGTCACTTTCTCTATCCCTTTGACTTTTAGACACCCCAAAGACGGCCACCAGCTTTCCTATTATTCAATCACTCCACACTAAAAGTTAAAAATGGGTATTTTATTTTTACTAACACATAAATCATACAAATAATTAAATTATTATATAATCATTAATTTTTGAAAACTTTTATTAATTCATATACCACTACTTAAAGTTTTATTAGTGACAAGTCTCATGACTACAGGAATTTATCTTCTAATATATTTTGTAAAAAGAACTTAATTCTTAAAATCCTTATATGTTGTATTATATATATTTTTTGTTTGGTTCTTGACTGATTTATTTATTTCTAAGCTTATTATATTTTTTGTTTGATGAGGCTGTGAAGATGTTTCTTGAAAATGACAAGCATTCAACATTAATCTTGGAAAAATAAAAATAGTCAACATTCCTGAAGGTATCAACCACCTATTTGAAATGTATGTACAATCAAGAAAAACAAATTTTATTTTTCTTTTTGTAAAAATGTTCGTAAAAACTGAGACTACATTACAATAATGATAGAATGAGTACATTTTGTTATCTTCTTTTGCCACAAGATGTTGCACTATTACATTAATCCGTTGGATATTAGCAAAATTTATGAGAGAAAAAAACTAAGTGCATAGAAATGGTGTGTCTTGTCTGTGCACCATTTTTGTATTTGTAACAAAACTTTTTATGAGAACATCGTATACAAACTCAGCATATCTTGTCCAAGTTCTTCCAACTTTGCATCCTTCTTATGCCATTAGGAATGGTACATTTCTCAATTTGCAATAGTATTGAACATTTCTCAATTTTTTATTTTTTTTTGATCAACAACGAAGAAAATTTTATTGATGATAGAGAACCTTACACGTAAGGAAAAAACATCAACATAGGGGACGGGGGGAGTGGTGCAAAATCCATTATAATGAGACAACCCAATCCCAACTAGGTTGGCACTAAGTGATTCGCACAATCACATGGCAACATCAATCCAAGCAGCAGTTGGTGAGAGACCAATAGATACACAAAGACAAATAGCAAAGATAGCAGATACACAAAGACAGATAGCAACAGACAGCTCCTCTTTATTGATGTATCCTCCTTACTTTGTTTGGTTTTTATCAATAAAGTTTTTTCGTTTTTGCCGATCAAAAAAAAAAAAAAAAGATAGCAACCAAAATACTAAAACAGTATAGCAGATTTATCAGATACACACTAAACACACCAGTAGCATCCCTCAAAAAACTTATTTTGCAAGAGTATTCTCTCAAATTTCAAAGTAATAAGAAAAACTCAAGTTTATGTGAGACTTATACAAAACAACTGTGAGATTGCCGCATCACGTGATAAAAAAAAAAATGTCATCATCATAACATTATTGATCATTCTTCACTTGTCCAAATTAAGATTGACTATTAATTGTTTTTAAGATCAATAATGTTATGATGTTGACATTTACGTAGCATATTTTGTTTATCACATCATCTATCAATAATGCATTAGTAACGAGTTTTAAAGGTGAGTACTATTAAATCAATAAGAATAATTATACATACAAATTTATTTCATTCTTCCACTTTCTTAATTAATTCAGTGACATTGAAGGAATCAACCCCTAAAAAAAAAAAAAAAATATTAAATGGAGGATTCCGCACGACAAAGCAAAGCCCCTTATTGAGCTAAAAGCGCACTTATGGTATCCTGCTTAGTGACTGGAACAAAGGAACTCCCTCAGGGCGGAACCCCAACAATCGATTTCTCTCTCCTTCGATTTATGCCAGCGAAGGTTCAAAAAAAGGGAGAAGATTATTAGCTGAGGGAAATGAGCCATGATCATGAAGTGAAAAGCACGTGGTAACCAAATCGAATGAAAAGTACAGCCTATCTCGATTAGCTGATCGAAACCTAGCGCATCATGTTCTCGAGTCACCAGGTGTTTATTCTCTGGGAAGCAAGCCAACTCTGCCCACCCAATTCTATATATCTATCTTTCCTGTTACTAGTTGGATCGGAGCCGACACAAGGAATTGGTCGACGAAGCCAACAAGCAGGGGACTAAGCGCTAGCTGCAAGAAAACTCCAAGCTAACGCGCATCCGTTTTCTTGGAGTTTTCTTTCTGGCTTTCGACACGCGGCAACATGGAACTTTTAGGCTTCTGCCTTTTCATCAGCTAGTGCCTTTCCTTATGGATGGCATAACCCGGTCAGCTTCGGCAACTGTAGTCTTGGAGCTCGGTTCTGGCATCTCAGGTAGGTCAGTTAGGTCATCGGCTCGGCCGCGCTCATTTGTCTTCAATCCAATAGATCCGTCGGAAAGCGTACAAGCGTCTCTGATCAAATCGGTTTAGTTCTTTCCTGTCGAAGTATAAAATTCCCTCTGTCATTCCCGCCTTCCCGTATTCAATTCCCCCGTGCCATCTCTTTTCCGCTGAACTGGTATTGGTGATTGGTCTTTCCTGGTGAATGAGTGTGAATCTCATTAGCTAAAGAATCATTTGCTATGCTGCTTTCTTTCATCATATGTAATAGAGCTAGACTAAGTTCTTCCATTAGCCAATAGTAGTATTGGACTTTTCTAGTCTATATCCCCCTAATATAGCGCATATCTACATCTACTCTAAATAGCGCATCTACTCTCTAAGGAAGCATGCGTTCAACTACTCATGGGATTGAATCCCGTCTACTCAACCTTTCCAGGCGGGATCTGAATGGGAGGAGAACGCCAGTTCCGGGTAGCGAGTTTAGGTCCGGTCTGTAGGGCAGGCAGATTTGAGAGCGGGAAAAAGAGAATGTAGTAGGCGATGGAGCACGCACTGGAGCAGGCAATCGAAGAGTCTGTCCCTTTCTCAGTATCATAATACGGTAAACGAAGGAAAGGGAAGCTTTGCTTCATTAAATACATCCATAAGTAGAACCGGAAAGATAGTCTCAGAAGGAGATGCAGACAAGCAAGGAAGAGCTGCTTAATTCAAGCCAGCAAGAAGACAGGAAGCTCATTCACGCACTGATAGCGAGTTGTTCAATTCCTTTATTCTTTAGTACCTGTGTTCGAGTAATTATAAGTTGCGCTGAGGTCGAATTCGATGTCAGGTGGAAGGTGGGATGTTTGATTGGGTGCATTGGATAGGTGTATTGATTGGCGTGCTTTGGATGTGTCTGTGGAGCTTGTGTGTTCCTGTGCGTATTGGGTGGTGAGGCGCTGTGTTCCGCTGCATTCGGTTCTGGCGCCCCACTCCGTATCATCGTTACTCATGTGTCTGTTGAGGTGGCAATATGGCATTTCTCAGAGTGCAGATCCTATGATCAGGTTCAGCAAAGCTCTTAAGTATGTAAAGCTACAAAGAAAAGCAAAGCATGGATAAGCAGCAAACGTTGCAGGGTCACAGCAAATACTGAAACTACTATGATCTACGAAGCCTTGGCCTGTGGGGATCCTTCAGAGATCGCAGGAAGGGAGGACGAGATGTGTAAGACAAAATGTGGCAAGATTTGAAGAAAGCTACTGGAGGAGAAAGTCTTGAATGCTCTGGTTCAAGGAGGGAGATAGAAAGAGCAAGTATTTTCACAGAGCAGCAACATAAGTATAAGTAGAAGTCCCCGCTCTCAAGGAAAGTGTCCCTACAGTAGCAGAGAGAGGGATGGCAATGGCTAACCTACCTTGTGGGTATCCATGGAGACCCAACCCAAATACATGGGTTTTTCCCCTTTTTTTTTATCCATTGGATAGGGTAGGTGATATTCTTTAAATATCCACAGGGGATGGGTTGGGGATGGGTACCCACTAATTTCCCCATATATATATATATATTATTTTTTTTAGGTACATCGGAAAATAATTTCTTCATATGTTTTCACTACTCTGTTAACAATTA